CGGTTCTGCGCAGATTCGACCTTGGCATCAGGTCAGGTTGGACATTGCTGCCATTAATTTCTGTGCAGTTCTCTAGGACAGCCAGGGGCCTTCAAAGCCTGAAGCCGTGTGTCCTGACACAGTCAAATGAAGTTTAACACTGGGGCTCCTGGCAAATAAAGTGCAAGCTGACCACTTTGGCCCCTGGGACTCATGGCACATTTAGCAATAGATGAGCACTTGAACCCTGGGGCCCCTGTGACACTTAGTGTGAGCTTACACCGCTACTATTGCAGTCGTCTGACACTAGTCTACCCAATCGAGTGTTTTTAAAAAATATTGTTAAACAGGTGGCAGAGCAAGGGGTCTCAAATTCATCACACAGCAAAATATAGTGCATTTCAGGGCTAACAGAACAACACAGATGGTGGCACCAGCACCTGCTTTGCTAGGGCTCCACATGTCATTTTAATAACATTAAAAGTTTTTTGTTGTTGCGTAGCTTGACTTATGATTAGGGCTGCACAATATATCATTTCAGCATTGATATCGCAATGTGCAAATTTGCAATAGTCATATCTGCAATGTCAAGTTGGGGCTATAAATAAATCATGAAGAAGTTTTTAAGATGTGATTTGTGGAGTCAAAGTTTAACTCTAGTGTAAAAGAATTTTGTTTGAGTGAGTTTTAAAAGCATGAGACTGTACGACTTTAAGTGAAATTAAACTATTTAGGCAAGAGTTTGTCACTTTATCAAAGATTAATTGTTTCATTATTGATACAATGAGGACTAGTGTTATTTTACTTTTAATTATTGATTTTCTGTGCTTCATACTCCAAAATCATTAAGTTCTGTTTATTTCATTATATTTGCTCTATTGTTTTCATCTGTGTTTTATTTGTTACATTTAAAAATATATATTTTTTGGATAACTATTTAATTATTGTACAATTATTATTAATTGTATATTATTGTTATATTATTATTAATTCTTCCAAATAAAGTCATCTTGTGAAATTACAGTCATATCGCAATTTATACAACAGTTCTGTTTGGTTTTTGAATCTGAGTGGCAGATAGCCGTGCAATATATTGCCAGTAACATCACACAAAGGCCTCTTCACCTTCACTGTGTATTACTCCGCCCACATACAGCCAGCAACAAGCGGAGACGCTACAGTTTGACAAATATTACTGTTGTTAGACAAGAAAATGTACTTTTATGGCTTTTTTAGTCGAGAATATAGTTGTTTAGATTGCTACTATGCAGTTTATTTGTAAAAATAGTGCCTATTTTAAAATATTTACAGTTTCTGAGAGACAGCTCGTTGGTGGCCAAAGAAGACGGTTGACGTTGTCTATCCACAAGATGGCGCCAGGACCACATAATAAGCGATTGCTTAGTGCGTTTTCCTGAGCACGAATAAGAAGCTGAAAAACGGCAGCGTCTCGTTTTTTAAGGTGGACCGGATAGAGTCAATAAGAAGCTGCGAATAAGAAGCTGGATTCAGCCTCGTTCCTCCTTATCACAAACACAACAGCAGTCTGGTAAGTTAGTGATTACTGTTTTTTTTTCAAGGTTAATTATTGTGATTTTGTAACGGTTGCTTATTGGACACACATCAGAAGCGCCGCTTCACATTACGCTATCGAGAATCATTCAAACACTAGCTCTAAAGTGACATTGGTGAATTAGTAACGGCTTCTGCTGATCTGACGTCAGCTGCAGATGTGAATGATTGGTGGAAGAAAGTAGTTCCTAATACAAAAAGGTTTTAGACTCTCCGTGTTTGATTTTCTTTTTTGTATACAAGATTGCGCCGTCGAACTGTTGTATAAATGCAATATCACACTCGTAGCGGTGTGATATGGCTGTATATCAGCACTGGTGGGGCGCTAAGGCACTCGGCCTGCGGCCTCTGTGCCAAAGCATGCCTCCCACCAGTGCTGATATACAGCCATATTGCACTGCTACTCGTGTGATATTGCTCATATTTATTGCAGAAAAACTAAACATTTTAATTTTAGTTTTTAAAATATCGTGCAAGTTCAGATGCAAATTTATTTTCATTAAGAAAAACAGAACAATGTAATAGATGTGAAGTAGAGATAGCTTATCATACACATGTTTTGATCATGTTCTAAAATGACCAAGTTCTGGCAATCATTATTTAATTTCTTTTCAAATATTTTGCATGTATCAATTGACCCTTGTCCTATTGTAGGAAAATTAGGTTTAATTACAGATCCCAGTTTAGACAATAATACCAAAAGTATGATTTTGTTTTCAACATTAATTGCTAGACGTCTTATACTGCTTAAATGGAATGACAAATTTCCATAAACTTTTAATCATTGGATTAGGGATCTTATGTACCATCTTACAATAGAGAAGATTCGGTACTCCACCAAAGGCTGCAGTCAAAAATGTTATCTTATTTGGCAGCCAGTGCTGACATATATAGAGCAAATGGATCCAAACTTTATATGTGCAGTTTGACCGTTGTTTATTTGTTTCTTAATTTTTTTTCCTTCCCGCCATTTTATTTTATATAATTTTTTTTTCTTTATTTTATATTTGCTAAGCCTATTGTGACTCATTGTTAGCGTATATATGTACAATAGATAAGTGAACATATAAGGGAACTTTTATCTACTAGTATGGTATGTACGTCCAGTATATATGAAGACATGATGTAAAACATTAAAAATGTGCATAATATATCATATAGAAATGGTGCAGTGGGGCAGGGGGCTCTTTTGGAACAAAGATAACTTTTCTCTATTTTTCACATATTTTTGAACTTGTTTTATTGACCAAAATGTTGATTAAAAAATCTGAACAAAGAGAAAAACAAAACTATTTTTAAAACTTCTGCCTGTAATCACGATAACGCCAAGTAAACCGTATTAAAACTTTTTCATAACTTTATGCTTTCAATGACATTTGTTATGGACAACAAAAACCTAAAGGCATTTAAAACAAATGCAACACTAATATGACTTATTAACAAAAACACCTGGTATACTGTAAATCCAACATGCTAAATTACACATTGTGTGTTTTCTTCCATATTAAATTATTGTGAAAAAAACACAACATTAGCAAATTTGGTCTTTATAAATCACTTTTTGATGCATCAAGCACCATAATGTTTTTTCTTTATAATGGTTTTCTATGGGAGGAAAATGCCTGATATGCAATTTAGTGTGCTTTAGTTTAGCATGCTCCATCAATATTTTGAGTTCATCTACTTGTACATGTATTAAGGGTTTCCTGTTTTGATTCACGTCCAGCTAAATGCATTCGCTCCAGTGTTCAGTCTTTACTTTTGAACCGAGTTGATAAATAGTCAATGCAGTGTATAGTTTTTGTGTGTGTGTGTGTGTGTTTGTGTGTGTGTGTGTGTATATATATATATATATATATATATATATACAGTATGTATATGTGTATATATATATATATATGTATGTATATATATATATATATATATATATATATATATATATATATATATATATATATATATATATATATATATATAAAAGCTATTCCAGCGTTATGGATGTGACATTTGCAGTAAAAACTCAACATATGTTAACATTATATTGAAACATCAGTTTATATTTTCCAGAACAATTGACCACAGAAGTAAGGGACTATAAAATATCAATCTTTAAGCATGTTTTGTACTTCAAATGAGGAAAATAAACATGCATTATGGATGCGACAAAAAAGTCTGTGGGTTTGCAGTATACAACATACAGCCCAAAAGAAACAATGGTAATCAAAATAATAAGAGTTGGCTCTCTATAAACAAAAATGATTGATTTTATTTTATTAAATATTTTCACATTTATAAGGAAAAAGTGTTGTAGATGTGATGTGACATCTCTACATTATGGTTGGACAGGATGTGAAATTGTCATTTGTGTGACTTTGGTAAATCATATAGAATAGTTTGAAAACATTGACAGATGCATTTTTGAGCATTTCTAAAGTACTGTAAAATACTTGCTTACCCGAAAAACCCAGAAACAGTTTCCGTATTTTGGTATAAATACAATTTCAACAGATGACTTTAATAGCTCTATTCCAAAATACTTTAGATTGATTAGGATGATTTTGTAGTGGAGTTAAATATAAACATCTTTATGTAATTTATTATATAGATTTAAAAACAAACTACAGTGATAAAAAAACAAAACACAATGGAGCAAATGTTAAAGTGAAATAAACTGCGCTTTATGGTTTTTCTGGAGGGAGTCAGTATTCGGGTACAGCAATTGAATAGTCAAATGTAAAATAACACTACATAGTCCCTCATATGAGTTATTCAATACAAATCATCTTTATTAAACAGCTTTATGCTCGACTAAAATGCTTTAAACTCTTAAAATGCTCACATAGTCGCAGGCCTAAAATTCCATTCTATTCTGGTTCAATTCTACAGTCTATCCACAAATCTGGTGTGTTTTGCCCTGCAGATTGCAGATCATTGCAGATCTTGCGATATGACTATTGCGGATTCACACATTGTGATATCGGTGCTTAAACGATATATTGTGCAGCCATAACCACAAAGCTTCTTCTATATAGAAATCAACAAATGTGTTCACTTGCTTGTTCACAGAATCAGACAGGTGAGTTACCTGATGCTCCTAAATCCTCACAAGCAGAAACGAATGAAAAATGCCCCCCAGTCTGAGGCAAATGATTGCACATAAACGAAAAGTGACAGTCAGTGGGCAGAAAATGACACGCTGTGGGAGAGAAGAGAGAGAGAGAGAGAGAAAGAGAGAAAGAGACCCGTGCGACAAAATAAAAGTGCAAGAGCGGGACAGAGAAAAAGAACAAGAGAAAGAGTGTGGGAGAATCACCCTGTCATTCATTCACACTCGGCTGTGGGGAGAAATGAAAGACTGTGATTCATTTCTGTGATGCTTCAGATGGGTGAAAAGGGCTTGTTTTACAAAGCAAAGGAACTGATTGTAGACCTCCTCTCTTCTCTTTCAGATTTTGTGGCCTGTGTTTGAGAGTGCATGTGTGTGTGTGCATATATGAGTGTGCGCGCGTGAGGGCGAGCGTGAAAGTGTGTGTGAGCACATCCACATGGCCTCCATGCAGGACGGGGTGAACTTCTCTGCTCATCCCTACGGCAAAGTACTGCTGCTGGGGGCCATCGCCGCCGCCTCAGCATTCGTGGTCACCATCCTCATTGTCGTGCTATGTGTAGGCTGCCAGAGGTGAGTTGTGCGCACAAATACACACATGCGTGGTTTGTTTATATTCTTATTCAGAGGCACTTGTTGAAACCTCTAAACAAAAGTTGCCTCAAGTAGGGCCCGCAGGCCAAAATTGGCCATTGTAACCTTTGATTTGGTGCACCATCCCATCTAAGGCCCCGTTTACACTGCCAGTTAAATGTTACCCAATTCTGATTTTTTGCTCATGTGTGACACAGATCGGATCTGTTCTATGACCACACAAACACAGGAAAAACGCATATGTTTGGATATTCAGAGATCGATTTCAGGCCTTCTTCATATGTGGATATAATGGGATGTGTGACAATGTGACTTTCATGTAAACAGGCAGATTGGATTTATTGTGGTATTCCGTTTTGTACATCATTAAACTTGCATCAATGTGGTACTTCTCCACAGTTTGATGACATAGAAGGAAGTGTGTGTGGAGGCGCAGACACAGTAAACAACAACAACAGAGGAAACATAGAGGAGGAAAGTGGTTATTCGCCACAATTTTCTTTGCTCCAGACCTGAGATCTCTCTCGTACCCACAAATTTCTCTGAATGATAGAGGAGACCATATATAAACCATAGGCACAAGCTGCAATGACGGCCCTTTCCCTCTTCCTCCACCTCAAAATCATTTTAAAGTTGGGCGAACTTCGCATATTTGTGAAGCCAAAAGCCATCAATCGTGGCTAATGTGGCACAGATGCTAGAACCTGCCTTTACGCATGCACGACATTGTCAATTGCATGGCAAGTGTAAACACATGAATCAGATATGGGTCACAATTAAAAGAACGTTTAAACGGACAGGCAAAAAAAATCAGATATAGGCAACTAATCGGAGCATCAAGACCTGACGGTGAAAATGTAACCTAAGAAGAGAGTAAGAAGGATGGAAAGGGTTGGGGCGAATGCCTTTAAAAGAGACGGTTATTAATAATTCGACATAACCTTTTTATTTGTTTTATTGCTGAGCTACAAAAAAAAAAACTGAAATGAAATGTTTCAATTAAATGTTGTACATGAACTGATTTTTATTACTTTTCCTTCAGCTTAGTTCATAATTATCAGGGGTCGCCGGCCATCACTATTCCTGCATATGTTTTACACAACGGATGCCCTTTCAGCCACAACCCAGTACTGGGAAACATCTATATACACTCCTCATTCACACAAACACATTTATACACTATGGCCAATTTTGTTTAACCAATTCACCTACAGCTCATGTCTTTGGACTGTGGGGAAAAAACAGTCTACATGTAAACTCCACACAGAAATGCCAACTGGACACAAATCAAGTCGCAAATCGAGGCAAAAACTAGTGTAATTCCATTCTGTCATAAATGAGATGGTTTTTGTTTTACTGTAATCAGTTCATTATAAAATGCTGTATTAGTTAATGTAAAGCAATGTTTTCAAGTAATTTTAAATATTAGAAAATTACCCATGGCAACTATATATACCTTCGGCCCACTAGCCTCAATCAAGTTTGGTTTTTGGCCTTTCATAGAAAAAGTTTGGGCACTCCTGATCTAAACTAAGTATAGGACATAGCTTGTCCTGCTTTTGTGCTGCGGATGTAATAAATCAAATCCATTCCATTGAAAAATAGATTTTTCTTATTTTTGCCTGGTATACAAAAAACTAGGGCTGGGCGATATGACAAAAAAAAAATCTTGTTTTTTTTATAAAGTTTGACCGATTCACGATTTCGTTTTTTTTATTGTGTAACTAGTCAACTTTAAACATTACAATAACATGACTGAAGTAACATTCACTATATAAGTAACTTGAAAAGCCATCTGATTAAGGAACATTGTATTTTTAATGGCCATGCCATACATAAATTGGCCAACAAGCTGTAAGTGAATGTAAAACAAATTCACGAGTTAAATATTGTTGCAGAAGATTAATATATATATATATATATATATATATATATATATATATATATATATATATATATATATATATATATATATATACACACACACACACACACACACACACACACACACACACACACACACACACACATTTATATATATATATATATATATATATATATATATATATATATATATATATATATATATATATATATATATATATATATATATATATATATATGCAAATACTGCAGTTGCAGGAAAACAGAAGTATTTTTGCAAGTCTTGCTGAGCCTAGGAAAGATTGGCTGTCAGCTCGGCTTTGACTTCTGATTGAATGACAGGTTGTAATGCTTCTGCCATTTTCTTAAAAAGATACAGTGGAAGTAAAGGACTGATCATGGAAACTGTAAAGATTAATTTAACCCAATGCGTGAAGTTGTGGACGTATAGCAGGAGCGAATACAAGCACTAGATGTGTGTCTGATATAAAATAATATATTTATTCTATTTTTCTGCAATTTCTCAAAACATGTCGGCGAGTCAAAATTGGGGATAAAACCAGGCAGTCTGCACTTAGCATAACCCAGAACCCCAGGCCTAATGAAGGCCTATAACGTCAAATAAGACGTCATACTAAATTTAAAACACTTGAAAACAAAGTTGTTTAAATATGCCGGAATGTGTTTAAATCCATTTCTTGTGTACTGATATTAATTTGGAAGGATGTTTTATTAGTTGAACAATCAGTTGTGTTGTATTCTCTCCCTTAGAGCTTCATTTTAAATCGTATTACCTTTTAATCTTTAAATCAAATTACATTGGCATTTCCTTGACTAAACAGTGGTCCAGAATCCAGTGTCTGAAGATGACTCCAGATAAAACTAAATATGACAAAGCAAGCATACATATAAGCTTAATCAATTAAAAATGAATATATATCTTAAGCGGGATTCCCCTAGTCTTTGGAAACAGAAATAAATGAAAGAATATTCAAGTGTGATTTTTAGTCCTGGAAATCTAAAAAATCTGGAATCATTTTCACATTAAGGTAATTTTCACATTGTTGCTTATAACCGTCTACTGTAAAATATTCTGTACTGTAAATCATATCACTGTTAATCTTAATATTAATACATTAGTAAAATCTCCTTTAATATGAAGCTGCATATCCCATTTCTGCAGTGTGTTTGTTCCAGGATGAAAGCCAGAGATCACCTGTCTTCACCATTCACTGCCACTAAATCCTTGAATAGAGCTTATTCAAAAATGGTGAAGATATCATTTTAACATGGCAATGATGTTTAAACAGGAAGCGTCTGTTTTTTCCCTGTGTCTCTCTTGTGAAAGCACAGAGCACACTGCATGAATGCTAATGTTTCATTTTGTCAAACTACATGATGCATCTGGTTGTGGAAAGACAAAGGAAAAGCATTAGGGGAATAAGAGATGGAGAGAAAGAAGTGAGAGAGACAAGGACAAGGGTCAGCTGAATTACAGATGAGCAAAACAAGAGTTTCCTATGGGAAAAGTAAATGAGAAAACTAAAGTACAGTAGATGTGTGGTATGTGGAGGCAGGAGATCTTTGCAACTTTAAGTAATACAATGGTATTTGCCCTTTGGTAACTATTCAGTATGATAAACAAAGAACTGATTATAAAAGAGTAGTACGCACTGTAAAAAATATTCGTACATTCTATTTTGTGATTCATGGTATTTTTCCTCCATTTATTTATGCTTTTGAATTGCATTATGAAACCTTGATCCTTCTTCCAACAACTTTTAACCTTAAGATCTCAAAAAAAAGTGACTTTCATGAACACTTTTAATTGCTTGAGGTGATGTATTGTCTAGATTGGTGTTGCATGGTACAAAAACCTTGTAATAAACTCCCAGTACAGTTTCTGTTATTTTACAGATGTATTACTCTATATTGTTTCTTATACGTTATATTATTTCAAACTACTAAAATGTCAATAAAAGTCATTTTGTTAAACTGTAGAGTTGAATTTTCAACATTAAAAATTGACAGATCATCAAAAATTTACAATTGACATTAAATGGAATTAAAAAAAAACTATTAATTAACAGATTTAATTTTTACAGTGTTTGTAAAATCTAATTTGCCTGCATTATATATCTTATCTTGCATTTTTGTTGGACCTGGCCATTTTGAGCAGGACACTCTCGTAAATTGTCTATCAAGTCCAGGGTCAGGCTAGTATAATGCTTCAATTTTAAAGCTGCCATAGGATGCATTGATTCAAAATGTAATAGTAGGATATCTACAGGGTGGGCCATTTATATGGATACACCTTAATAAAATGGAAATGTTTGGTGAGATTAACATCCTGTTTGTGACACATTAGTAAATATGAGGGGGCACACTATGCAGGATGGGTGGTGACCATGGTGGCCATTTTGAAGTCGGCGATCTTGGATCTAATTTTTGTACAATTTTTGTGAAAATACAAGATGTGCAGCACCTGAAACTACGGATACTGGAAGCCTGTGCTGCCATTTCTCCTGCGGTGTTGCTATCAGTGTGTGAAGAGTGGGAGAAGAGGGTTGCATTGACAATCCAACACAATGGGCAGCACATTGAACACAAGTGGTCAGAAACTTGTAAATAACTCATGAAAGAATAGTTACGTTAAAACCAAGCACACCATTGTTTTTCTTGTGAAATTCCCAATAAGTTTGATGTGTCAAATGACCCTCTTCCTATTGAAAAAACAAAAATTGGATCCAAGACGGCCGACTTCAAAATGGCCACCATGGTCACCACCCATCTTGAAAAGTTTGCCCCCTCATATATACTAATGTGCCACAAACAGGACATTAATATCACCAACCATTCCTATTTTATTAAGGTGTGTTCAACAATTCTCCAGAAATGGTTTTATATGCTCTTTTATAAACAGAGAATCACCACTAGAATCTAAATCTTTGTTTGACCATATTTGGGATGGTATAAAAAATTACCAAATTTTTCTTTCATACACACAATGTGGTACACACTGAAATGCACATATGCAATATAATCATCACAGATGCACATTTTGAGAGTCTTTCTTACTGAATGAATGAAATACGCAGTTTTCCACCAAGACAACCAGGGGTGCTGATACAATTGGCTGAACTGGCATTTGTCAGGTTAAAAGAACTAAAACAAAGACAGCCATTCTGGCACGTAACACCCATTTTAAAAGCAGAATATCTGACATTAGCATTATGTTTCAGATAAACAAGAATGTTCACTTAGCATGTTTCCTAAATATCTACAAACGTAATATGGTACTTTTATGCTTTAAAAGAGTCAAAAACTTACATACAGCACCTTTAAAAGTAGACAAGTTCCTAATCTAACTAATTTAGCACCATCTACTTGGGACCAGATTCTGTGAACTTATGTGGAAAAGGAAAGAACCAGACCTTTAAGTTTATATTTTCACCAAATATATTTAAGGCCAAATTTAAAGTGAAATGTCTTTATTCTTCTTAACCAACGTCTACCAGATGCATCTTCACAAAAATATATCCACATATTGGTTTAAAAAGTTGTGTTACTTTATTTTCCAAAAACTTTCGCAAGGGTAAATGTTCTTGCGAGATATTCTAATACTGTTTTTTTTTCTTATTCTGTTAGTCCTAAAAACAAATATCAGTGATTCATGGTAATGTCAGAAATTGGTTTAGTACACTACAAAATTCATTTTGTATCCATTTCTCCTGCTGTTCATCTTCTGAGGTTGGATTCCTGATACCTACACGCTTTCTGTAATCTCATCAAAGCAATACAAGCAATCAGAAGGGAACGACTGACATGCTTTTTCCAAGAATAAACAGATGTCTGGTCAAATTTAACGGAACATTCCGGGCAAATGCTCTGGACCGAATTACTGAGTACAGTATATGTGTCTGAGAAAAGTTTACACTGTGAAGAAACTGTATACGTTTTATCTGTTCATGAGGAAAATAATACTCATCATCTATTTAGCTATTTTAGTGATGTTTGAAATGTGTTATAGTTGTATAGACTGTATAGACTGATCGTTGTTGTGGCTTAAACACTGTCGCTCTGCAGTTACTCAGAGGCCTGTTAATCATCCAGCGAAAGCCTTCTGTTGTTTCAAATGCCAATCTGGACTCATTTTGAGGACAGTGCATCTTCTGATCAAATGGCTTCACTCAAACAGTTTATAAAAAACAACTGCCTTGAATCGTTTGAGTAGCCTAATTGAATTGAAATGTGCGTTTTGTTCCTGCGCAAGATAAACAGTTGGAGCTCCTAAAGTAAATTGAATCAAGGGCTCAAATGAGTCAGCGTGTTTCGTCTCCATAAATCTGTGGATAAACTAAGCATTTGAATGGTTGAATTTGTGAACTGTTTGATTTACATCTCTCTGACTCTGTCCTGCAGGAAGGGGAAGACACACAATGGCCCTGGAGAGGAGAGAAAGCACAGGCTCATGGACATGGTGAGCATTTATAAGTGTCTTCTGTTCTGCTGTCTTTATTTTTGGGTTTCGATCACTAATAAATGCACCTACACCTACATATTCATTCATTCAATTTCTTGTCGGCTTAGTCCCTTTATTAATCTGGTGTCGCCACAGCGGAATGAACCGCCAACGTATCCAGCAAGTTTTTTACGCAGCGGATGCCCTTCCAGCCGCAACCCATCTCTGAGAAACATCCACACACACATTCACACACACACTCATACACTACAGACAATTTTAGCCTACCCAATTCACCTGTACCGCATGTCTTTGGACTGTGGGGGAAACCGGAGCACCCGGAGGAAACCCACGCAAAGGCAGGGAGAACATGCAAACTCCACACAGAAACACCGACTGAGCCGAGGATCGAACTAGCGACCTTCTTGCTGTGAGGCGACAGCACTACCTACTGCGCCACTGCCTCGCCCTACACCTACATATTGTTAAATATATTGTTATTCATTAGTTTTAATAAAAACTACAGATGAAAAGTTTAGAATAATATTTTTAAAAGTGTCTTTTATGCTCATCAATTATTTTAACAAATACAGTTAATGCTTATTAATAAAATGTAAAACTTCATTTTTATACACACACATACATACACATATACATACACACACACACATATATATATATATATATATATATATATATACATACACATACACACACACACACACACACACACAAACACACACACACACACATATATATATATATATATATATATATATATATATATATATATATATACATACACACACACACACACACACACACACTGGCCACTTTATTAGGTACACCTGTTCAACTGCTCTTTAACGCACATTTATAATCAGTGGCAATCTCATGGCAGCAACGCAAGATAATCTGCTGCAGTTCAAACCAAACATCAGAATGGGGAGTAAAGGTGTTTTAAGTGACTTTGAATGTGGTTGGTCTGTGGGCACAGATTCCTTGTTGATGCCAGAGGTCAGAGGAGAATGGTAAAACTGGTTCCAGCTGATAGAAAGGCAACAGTAACTCCAATAACCAGTCTGTACAACCGAGGTTTACAGAAGAACATCTTTGAACACACATCACGTCGAACCTTGAGACAGATTGGCTACAGCAGCAGAAGACCACACCGGGTGCCACTCCTTTCAGCTAAGAACAGGAAACGCTACAATTACTAAAGTACACCTTCGTTCCCCGAGGGGAGGAACGGAAATGCTATGTGGAAACCAATCATCTGAAAGAGTATAAAATTGGGCCAATGAAATGGCAATGAATTGGCGGCGTCAGCATGACAATCAGTCATGCTATAAAGACGCAGCTAGTGCAATGCTTGACATCCTTTTCAGTGGAAGAGACTTTCATGCTAAACAGCTAAGGAACAATTGTTGTGGCGAAGGTACATAGCATTTCCGTTCCCCCCCCCTTAAGGAATGAAGGGTTACTTTAGTAACCGTAGCGTTCCCCTTCGGATGGGGAATTCCAATGTTATGTGGAAACTTCCACTATGGGGAAATCTATGAAAAAACGCCACAACGAAAGAACCTTACCGCGTCCCTGGCAAAGGGTGTGCCATGCAGTAGAGCGAGTGCACCTACAATGCCGTGATATGCAGTCTTCCAACGTGTCCCCTGACCCTTACTTACATTACTTACCTGTTCCGGTTTAGCTATATTTTTCGGGGAGTCGAAAATAATCCAGTAAAATAGGGTTTTTAATAGGGTTAATAGGGTTTTAAATTTTAATTTAGTATGTTGGGAAAGCATTCAATCCTGATAGGGAGGACGCTGCAGAGCTCACCTGCTACCCAAAAGAGGGGAGACCTGGTAACAGTCTGTGGACTAGCCCCAAAAAAGAGGGGGTGCACATAAGAGGATGGTTAGCGGGGAGGGAAGACACGAGCCCGCCTTAAAAAAAGGGAGGACTAAACCTTGGTTGAGTGATCTTATGGAATAGCCAACAGGGGATCACACATAGCAGGCACCTATACCCAGAACGCTGGCTGATCAGCGGGCATACCAACAGTGTAATGGGCCAACGTCTGACTCCTCTGCTGAGTCAGATGCTGGGGCCCTCGGAGGAACTCTGCAGGGATACAATAATGAAAGGGCTGGGTCTGCCTCCTCCGCGGCCAGCGCTTGCAGGCTCACTACCTGACCCCTTTATACTCTTTCAGATGATTGGTTTCTGACGAAATACCCCACAGTGGAAGTTTTCACTTAGCATTGGCGTTCCCCATCCAAAGGGGAACTGAGGTTACAATTCACACAGGCTCACCAAAATTGGACAATAGAAGATTGGAAAAACGTTGCCTGATCTGATGAGTTTGATTTCTGCTGTGACATCCGGATGATACGGTCAGAATTTGGTGTCAACAGCATAAAAGCATAGATCCATCCTGCCTTGTATTGATGGTTCAGGCTGGTTGTGGTGGTGTAATGGTGTGGGGGATATTTTCTTGGGACACTTTGGGCATATTAGTACAAATTGAGCATCATCTATGCCACAGAATACCCGAGTATCGTTGCTGACAATGTCCATCCCTTTATGACCACAGTGTACCCATCTTCTGATGGCTACTTCCAGCAAGATAATGCTCGATGTCATGAAGCGCGAATCATCTCAGACTGGTTTCTTAACAATGAAAACAAGTTCAATGTATTCAAATGGCCTCCACAGTCATCAGAACTCATCACAATACTGCATCTTTGGGATATTTATTTGAGGAATAGTTCCAGTACCCTGTTGAATCTATGCCACAAAAAATTAAGGCAGTTCTGAAGGCAAAAAGGGGCCCAACCCCGTACTAGTAAGGTGTACCTAATAAAGTGGCTGGTGAGTGTATACAGTTGGTGCTTATGAAGCATATCTCATTACTATAAATAATGAAAATGATGCTAATAAATTGTGATGTTGATAATTATTACATTTTTCAATAGAAGGTTTAAAAAACTTTAGAAATCTTTTTCAATAGTGTCACTTTTGGTCACTTCAATGTGTCCTTGTTATTAAGGCAGAATAACAGACAATTTTTTAATGCATTACTGCCCGTGTGTGCATGGCAAGTGAATGAAAACCCATTCTCTTTCCTCTCAATTATATCTCTCTTTTTCATGTGTTTTCTAAGGAACTCAGATCTGGGCTCAGTTCCATGCCGGTTCAAGCAGTTCATGGTTTTGTTTCAGGATTTAAATTCTTCCCTCACACTAGTGTTTCAAGTAATAAATTGAAGGCTCCTCCTGAATTAAATTAATCTTCTTAATCGGCTCAGTGGAAATGGATCTGATCTAAACTTTGAATGGTTCTGTTAAGTTTAAAACTAAAACAAAAGGATTCAGGGCATTTGATTAATTCAACACCCCACACACTAGTAAGACATGCTAAAGAAGACTTACTTAGTTTCCACTGTAATAGTGTTGCTGTACTGTTTTATAGTACTTTTACATTGAACATTAAGAAATGATGATGAACCAGCATAGTGCATAATAGTATATTATAGATACTGTAAGTACGCAACTGGTGCCTAATGTTGTACTACTGTCAGACCGTGCTTGCACCAACAAAAGGAGCTTTCATACTGAAGGAAAGTTTTAATAGAACTGATGGTGGAAGTAGATGTTCTTAGTATGTTCCTACACCACAGGAGTTGGAAACTTACGCAAAGTAGAAAATACATAAAACGTAAGCCTCATTTACATTACAAGCGACATGTAGCAGCAAAGCAACAAGCGACTATTTATTTCAACAGAGAGTGAGTGACTTCCGCCAAACTCCGTCTACGCGAGTGACAGTGACCATTGGCGACCAGGTGTGCATGTCGAGCGACACGACAAAGTTAAGAATCCTCCAACTGTATGCAAATGAAGAGCGACTTTCTTGAGCGACAGCAAATAGGAGGATCAGTAAAGCTCACGTGATCCTCTCTTAGCCCACTTAGAGGCCGGTTGTATTTGTGCTGCATATACCTACACACCCCTGCGTTTCAAGCAGGTCGCCACCCAAAGCGACAGGCAGCTACAAAGTCGCTGCTAGTCTGAATGAGGCATTAAAGAGATAGTTAAAAATAAAAAAATTCTGTCATCATTTACTCACCCTTTAATTGTCAGCATTTAGTTTGGAATAAATTCAGCCTATCGTTGAACACTGATTATACTGGTAGTTTCTTTTGTGGCTAGGAGAGAACCTGATCTCAAGCGAGAACTACTTTGGTCCCCCTTATTTATAAACATTTGGATAACTAAAATGTTTTTCAGTTCTTGTGGTGCAAAATTAATAAAAAACCCAGCAGTTCCACCAATGGTTAAAAAAAGCTCCTGAAAAGCCAAACACAAAAATGTTGTACTCATTTTTATGTTGTTTTCCTGTGTATTTTTTTCAGAGTATACTGCGGCAGTCCAAGCTGCGCTCCATCAGTAAGTCAGACACCAAGCTTCATGAGATGAACAGACTCAACTGCAATGGCAAGAGTATGTACTGTACAATCACATCTTTTAAAGCTTGATAGTCTCTAGTTCTTCACACACACCAGCAGTCCGGTGGGAAGGCCTGAGCATGGTTCCAGCTACAACCCAGGAGTTTCCTTAGCAGTTATTTTAGTAGATGTAGCAACTTTTACTTTATAGTGATTGGCATGTGTCTGCTGCCCTTTGCCTCTGCAGTTTCGAGCAAATCTCTTCATTGTCTCTTTAAAAAAAAAAAAAAAGCAAAAACCAATTATTTTAAATTCGTGATTTTGTGTAACATCATCTTTATTTTTGTAGAATCTTCTAAGAAGAACCGTCCTGCCAGCATGGATCTGCTTCTACTCTCTAGCCGTCGCTCAAACTCCGACCTGCGTTCTCAGGGTCGCCAGCTGCCTCAGATCCCTTCTGGTGAGGACGGGGAACACACATACGCCGAGGTGGGCCGGCGCGCCTCTCCCACTCGTGGATCTGAAGATGCACGCTACGGCGTCGGAGGTCGAGCCGGAGAGACGGACACACCTGCCCCACCGGCAGTCCCTGCTAATACTCCAGCTCCCCCTGATCCTGATGGGGACTGCTTGGAGGGTGGGATTCCAGAGTCAGAAACCCTCACCCAAGTGGTTAACACACCCCCTCAACCGCAAGAGACAGTGGAGTACGCCTGCATCAGAAAGGTCCGGAAAGTGGACAAAGCAGCCCAGAAGAGAGACAATGGGACGGAGACTGAGGAGGGACTTGGACAACAACAACAAAGACACAGTAGTGGGGACATTAGGCATGCGCCGCCCACTCACCAAGCCCCACCTCCAACACACCCTCACAGTCAAAAGATTCCAAGGAAAAACATGGAGGCCTTCAACCTTCCATCATTCCCGAAGGTAGAATCTGCCAATCTACCTACTAATCTAGCAAGGGACTACAAATCAAAATAAGTAAATCGATAGGTTTCAGTCAATAAAACCTGACTAATTGATATTAAAAGATGACTGACACCAAAATGCTATAAGATAATTGAGTGAATCCATTTGATCACTTCTACACATATATTAAGGAAGTCCTATAACACAGCAGTCAAAGGGATTTTGCTGAGGTTACAATTGCAAACGCAATACTGCAATACATGAGAGCATTGTTGCTAATGGAAACTATTTGCTGTTTCATGACTACTAAAAGCTTTGACTTTCTGTAATTTCCGATTTTGTTTTAAATAGCGTCTTAAAATGGAAAATATTATAAATGGAAGTATGCTGGGAATGGCCTCAGTTATATAGTGTGCCTTAGCACTTGTGTAGACTTGCAAGTAAAGTGGCCCCGCAATTAAGTATACTGCAAGTGTACTTCATTATTTCCTCTGTGAGAAAACTGTTCCAATCAATGGTTCTTGTGAGTTTTTAGTGATCCGTTCACAGCACTGGGGGTGTTGCACCCTCACAAGCTCTTTACGATAAGGATGATGCAACCAGCGGAAACACGTAGTGAAACCTCTCAATCATTGAAACAAAGGCAAACACAGCCAGACCTAGAAAAATGGGCCGGTCCTAATGGTAGACAAAGTGGATTGCTATGGGGAACGAAAAAAGGCGACAACTACATGCTAATCTCTGCCTTAAAAATGGCTCTGTGACACACCCCATTGCCCACCTTCCGCTTCTCCTGCATAGCAATGAGGAGAAAGTGCACAGCAAGCACCAGCCTGTTCCCTTACAGCCCAAGTACAGGAAACACATTAAGCTCAATATCATTAGATGCAGAAGATGGTTAGACATGAGGCCAGGCATTAAGAGGGAGGATTGTAGCTTGATTATGCTACATAGGCTTATTTTCAGGGAGAGGAATTTTAAAACGACTCCTCAACTGACCCTTGTCTTTGTGGATTTCTCACATCGACTGCTTGATGCATGACAGCATACCTACCAATATTTGCCTCTGTAATTCCGGGAGACCAGGGGGTGGAGGGGGGTGGTTGGCCAGAGTAACGAGAACCCGTTTGAGAACCGGGGAATGAGGGGGTTTGGGGGCATGTTAGTGGTATATTCCCTTTCTGTAAAGAATCTCTCATTGTAAATTTGTTTCAGAACTGGTAAAAGTATTTTGCATCTTGTAAATTATTTTTATAAAATGTAAATTTGTTTCGTCCTTGGTAACATCGTTTTTCCTATGTAATTGTTTATTGTGATAGGTGAAATGTTTTTTTGTTTTGAGCTTCGTAAAAGTGTTTCACACTTTGTAATGTTGTTTTGCACTACCAGGCCACAGTAGTATAATGGACCAGGTTTTGGGGCGACAGCGGTGATCAGATACCGGGGTGCCGCTGGCCGGTACAAGCCTTATGACAACATTTTAGGTGTTTTGCAAACAAAATTGGTGAGCCAGGGAGTGGGATATATGATAGTTACTGGAGAGGGTGTCTCGGATAAAATTTAAGAATGGGGTCGTGGGATTTGATTGCGGACCAAAGTGAAAAGCGAGGGGTTGTTGTTCTGGTGGCCCCCTAATGGTATTTTTACGGTGTGTGCTCTTTGAATCGTCCTAACTCCACCACCCCCTAGCAGCACCCCTGTCGGATACTATATAAAAGTTGATGACCAGGTGACTTTATTGTGTTCAAAATTTAATTACGGGAGTTTTGCGGTAGACTAAATGTGAGGGTGGCAGGTGATGGGTGTGAAATATGGGAGACTCCCATTGATGCAATGTCACGAGAAATCAAAGCAAAAGTAAAAATAACAGTGTGTGGGAAATATGCAATATAAAGGTTTTTGAAAAGTATTCTGGCAACACTACTGGTAATAATTTAGTGTAAAAACTGACCTGGTTCACGAACTAATGTTGTGTTAAGAAATTTGACTTGCGAGTACAAAGAGTTACAACTTAATGACACAATTCTGTGTCCCACTTGACTACCTCAAGCTGCTTCTGTACCTTTTAAAGCACCAGTTTTAAAAGCTCATTTAGCATTCTTCAGAAGAAATAAAGCCATACTCATTTGAAAATGCATGAGGATGACTAAGTGATGACCGATTTCATTTCTGTGTGAACCAAACCTTTAAAAGCATAGATTTAAAATGGATCTGTGCTTGGAGAGTATTGTTGATGTAGTCTTATAACACTCTACTCAGCTCTACTCTCCAGTGTCTATTATTTAAGATGGGCCTCTTAAACTGTAATATAATATTTATTCTGGTCAATTGTTTTTAATACTTCCAGGAGGCAGTGTTTATGGGAAATGGAGAGCAGTACATATGGAAACCTCCAGAAGATGATGATGTCATCTTCCAGCACAAGCAGATGGGTATTCTGGGCTCTCATGCGGGAGAGAATATGGCAGCATCTGCAGCAGGGGTGAGCGTGCATTTAGTTTTCCAGACCGTCCAAATATACATCCTGTACTTCTCAATCTATGCAGTCAAAAAGTCTTGAAAGTATTAAACAATCTAGAAACATGTCTGTGACTGATTCCAGCGCACTTCCACTGTTAACCAGAAGCAGCTGGAAACCCACAAATGTATTCCTAAAATGCTAGATTGTTTTCATTGAATATCAGGCACAGGGAATTGGAGTCAAAATATATATGCACCAATTGCCCTCTCACAAATGCATTTCAGATGGTTTGTCTCTGTATTTTCATGTAGATCACAGAGATGTACTCGAAAGTCTGCAAACCGGGCAAAAAGAAGCGAGGCGTGCCCGGATCGCCCACCGCCACAAGGGACATAAGCGGCTATAGGACCTTGGCTCGGGGTGACCGTGGTGAGCGTGACGGGGGTTTCAGTGTGGTAGTCAAACCCCAAACGTGGGCCCCGCAGGAGGGCAAAAGCGCAAGAGCGCCACCAGGCTGCATGGAGGACCACTGCTATGAAGCCATCAGCACTGAGGAAACAGACCTGGCTTACGAGACCATGGAGGGTGGGGGAGGCTGGAGGCGTGACAGGCCTCCACCCAATGCCAGTGCCACCTTGCGACCTAAGCGGAAACGGCCCCAGCAGCCTTTGCAACAACCGCCCCCACCCCCTCCACCCCCCCAGCAGACCCCTAAACTGCAGCATCTCCCAGCTAAAGCAATGCTTATTCCTGGGGAGAGCCTGTACGAGAGCATCCCTGACCTGAAGCAGAGCTCGGCCACCTCCAGCACAACCACCATCTTTACTTTCAATGACGGCATGGAGATGTATGTCACTGGGCTGTAGGGGACGCTCTGGGGAAGGGACCTTTCCTCTCCGGGGCTTGAATCTTTAATAGGGACACGTGTGTGTCGAAACCCAATGGAATATGCGTCATTGCTATATATTTTACATGGGTTCCAAGTGTTAGTTGAGCATTGAGTTTTGTAAGTCTAGTTAAAGGTCAGTAATCTGCAGCACAATATGTCAGAACGCTTACGTGAAAATCCAGACTAAATGATTTTGATTAGTCGCACGACTCCATCACGAAGAAGAAAAAAAAAAGTCACCAGCCACGACATATCACCACAGAACAACATATCACACAGTAGCAATTCTTGTTTTTTTGTCATTACATGCTGTAGTTTTAGACAAAGTGACCATCGGAATTGCGGGTCAGACTTGTATTTAATGCCTAGAAAATCCCAAAGGAGAAAAAAAAATGAGCACAAGTCTATTATAAAAGCAAAGTGTTTAAAAGCACAACATATTTGTGTTCCCAAGGCCATTTGAGAAAAAATAAAAGTATCTTGATTTGACGCCCTTAGCAAAATAACGTTCCCGGTTTCAAAAGTTATCAGGGGCCAATCACAAGCTGTTGCCAAGCAAAATGCCATATATTGGCAAAAAAGTCTATTTAATTAATAGAAGAGTTGATCTTATTTTAAAATGGATTAAATATATCTATTATGTAAAAGCTGTGGGAAACACAATGTCCTATTTTTATAAAGTCAAAGCCTCTATTTCTTTAAAATAAAATCTTAATTTTAGAAATGAAATAAAGATTCTAATTCGACTGATTAAACAGATCCTATACGTGAAGAAAATATTTTCTATTAAGCACAAATGATCACATGCTAAGCATGTTGTCTGTCATAGACAGCCCCCTTTAGAAATTCAAGAGTACATTTAAAATGTTAAAAATGAATAGATGTTAAATAGCAATTGTCATGGAGATAATTAGAAGAAGCTCAGGGACAGTGGAAAAAATAATAACTGCACACAAAAAGTTATCTCACAGGAGACCCCCAATGTCTTTTCATGTTATTTTTGTTTTGGTCATACATAAATTCAAACTGTCACATGGGTCACCACAGCACTTCGATGCGGTAAAGTAAATGTTTTTCTTTGTCAATACTGTTTATGCACTTTGCCTGACTAAAAAGATGCATGCTTAAAAAAACCTTGAAAAGGGATAAAAAAAAGAAAAGAAAGAAAAGTGAAACTAGCACTGTCCTGTGGTATCAAGAGAATGGTTTATTTCTTGCTGTTGTCGGTGGATTGTTTGATTTATATGCCTTTTTCTTCATCTGAGAAAGAGCACAAAGTGAATCGCTTCAGGATTGGGGAGACCAATGAGGACTCAAGGAGGACTCTCTAAACAAAACAACTGGACAGTTAGTAATATAACATAATTGGTCAGTTGAAATGTATCACAGACAATCCCTTTCCCCCCATCATTTCAAAAGCAGTCCACGTCCAGATCCAGATCAGATTGAATGGGATTGCATACATTTGATTGTTGCAAAAAAAAAAAAAAGAAAAAGAAATCTCCTGTATGTTATATGGAAATAATGGGAGATAAAAAAACAAAACAACAACTAAGTGATATAAAATTAGTATATGTCACCCTGTTGGTCTATGGGAGGGGGGTTGAGGTTTTATTGCCAGACAGTGACAAGCTTCACCAATGGACTAATGTCAACGTACTATCTATAAATTGTGGACTGTCTCCGCTCTCTTGGTGTGTTTGAATCTGATGCTAATGTAATCTGGATTAAATTATCCCAAATGGCTGGAGCACAAAGAAAGGGGCTCAGGTCAACCAAATATAATCAAAGCCCTCATCTAAGCCTTCGTTGCCATCAAATGTTGGTGCGATGTTGTAAATATGTTACAAACTGAAGAAATGAAGAAAAGGGGGAGGGAATTTGATCTTGGTGTTCCTGAAAGTGTTTGTTTCTTTCCGGTTGTCCTTTTGGAATGATTTTTCTGGGTGAAAAATTATCTCAGCAGTATCTCTGTGAGTTTTGATTATGTGCTTTGGGAATTTTGTTTTTTGTTTGTTTTTAAGTTCCACATCATTTTAGCTATACTGTGTATCTCAAAGACCAGTTGAGTTTAGTGTGGCAGCTAATGTTGTGCGTTTGCTTATCAAACAACAGGGTGGTGTGTATTAAAGCTGTGTAATTAAGTACTAATGTGGAAAAGATTGTAATGTTTTTATATCAAAATGCCTATTCATAAAAATGTCGGGTCAAGTTTATACTTTTTTAAATAAAGTAGCACTTCGAAAAAAACACCAAGCATATAGCATTTACATAGTGTTTTCTCACAATAAGCCTTCTAATCATTCCTGAAAAAGAGCAAGGTGCTTCGACTCATACAGCAAAAAAAAGTTTGTTTTTTCTGAACATTTGCAGCGCTAATTAATGTAATATTTTAAAGGGATATAGAGTGGAGATCAAAATTAGAGAACCTAAAATTTCCTAAACTGAAGATATCATGGCAGGAGTAATAGAGCAGTTTTTGAGCATATTTTGAGTTTTTACTGTATATTCTGTGGGGTTGGGAGAAAAAAACAATCTATTCATTGATGCTTTGTGATTCTTTCTTTCTTGACTTTGAATTGATTTTCTATTCAAATAAAACGGTAATAATGTGAGACGGTGCGGGCACAAGCTGGAAACAGATAATAAATAGCTTTGACCAACCCATGTACCAAAACTGCCAACTGAATGCTCTCTTATTGGAATAAGGGTTGTTTGTTCTCTATCATTATGGCATTTCTATGTTACATTCAGAGCTTGTTCTTGCTAAATATAACTATTTTTTAATAAAATAAATTATTTTAAGATGGCAGTACTGTCATCCATAGAATTCCAATCATAAACAAAAGCATAAAAACTCAAATTCTGCTTCAAATGTAAAGTTGGAAGTGTATATTGGATCCTGATTTCCAGAATTGGAATTGGATCGGACCATAAAGTCCTTAAAGGGCATCTTTGATGAAAATCATCTTTCGAAAGAAACTTTCATTAAAATTTTTGGAATTTCCTGACGTTAAAAAAAGCTTCAAACCCCTCCCATTTTGAAGCCCACTGCAAAGTGACGTAGGAGTATGGTTTCTCTGCCCACCGAATTTAATTGACAGATGCGTAATAGCATGTCTATGTAGTATTGTATATGTATCCTGTCACATTTGCCATGCAAAGCAGTGTAAAGCTAAATGTGTGTGTGTGTGTATGTGTATATATCGACATTGTGTGACTCATTGTTGCAGAAAGGCTTGAATTGACTTCTCTGACACGCACATGGGAACAGTGGGCGGAGAGAACTAGCTAATTTACCTGATTTAAAAAGGTATAATAAATAATCTAATGGGTATTTTGAGCTGAAACTTATAAGGCTTATAAGACAAAAAAGGCTTATATTAAATCTTAAAAAAGGGGTAAAATAGGTGCCCTATAAAGATTCCCAGTCCTAATATTCTAAATAAAAAAAAACTTGGAGATTATTGATGTAAATTTGGCATTTGCGTCCAATTACCTCATATATCTAACAAACCCAGACAATAATATAATTAAGGTGTCTACATGAGTTGTTTTTTGAATGTTCTTTTTATGATTCTGTATTGCATGTTATAGCACATAATTCGATTAACTTAATTTCATCAACGCGCTATACACACTTCCTCCTGAGTTTCATGTAATTTCAGTTGTTTAATTTTGAATTTGTTGACTTTAACTGCAGTTTGGCACTTTTACTTTCATTCAGGAAAATTTTATGCATGCCCCCTGTGACAAACAAGATTTTGGATGTGAGTATGAACTGCTGGAAGAGTGTTGTTTTAATGGAATTTGATATTGCACACCGTATGGAAAAAAAAGCTCTGCATTTCATGATGCAGGTGTCTATGGTCCTTTACTGATATGGTAGGTGCATAGAATAGTGTCAAACAGCCGTGTATGTATGGGCTACCCTGACGCAAAATGCGAAAAAAATCCTACACGATGGTAATAGTTTCACTAAAGTGTTTACATGTCTGTTCTGCACTTCAGTAATGCGACTAGCATCGGCATACTCCACACTTCTTAAATCAATTTCTGTTTAGTTCGATTGTGACTTTAGTCGGATAAAGGTAATCGAAAATTGCTGTTTAAATGATAGACTCTTAATCAAAGTATTGATTTAATTGTTTTAAAATCAGATTATTGGTGTCGATGTACATATACTCAATGTTTAAGATAATTCCTTGCAGTAAGCAACTGTCAGCAGCTGTCAGCAGCTTAATCTCATCAGCTGAAAGAATCAAAACACCAGACTAAGCTTTGTTAAGGACCTTGTTGTGGACACAGGATATGTCCAAACTTCACTTAATTTTAATTTATTTGGTATCTGACAGGAAAATATTTTTATTGTTGTCAGTTTGGGAAAAACTAAAACCAAAGTGGGTAAAGAAGTGTCATGGTTTATGGAAAGTTTTCTGCAGCAGGAGTCAAGCTACATTTAAATGTTTTTCAGATGCTCCTATTAAAATGCCATGGTATAGTCACAACTGAAATTGCAAAGATTACAGTACTTCTGGAAAAATCTGTTTGTAAATCTTATTTTGATCTCCACTGAATATAAGAGATTACATATACTCCATGCTTTTTTATTGTGTGAATAACAAAATCTTAAAAAAAGGAAAAAACAACCCAGGCTCATTCTGAAAATGTACCCTTATATACTTTCTTGAAGAGCGCCAAATGAGTCTTTTTGCGGTTCTTGTTTTTGCAAATCCACCAAAGGCCGCTGTGTGCGCTTTTTCTGATCTCAAATTTCTCTCACAAGGGTCATTCGTGCCTGCTGTTTTCGTGCAAATCCACCAGAGGCCACTGTCTGACTGACTGACCCATCCACTGACCCACCCACCTTCTTCCCTAAACCCAACCAATAGTGTTTTTAAAGGCACCCTCCCCCCACTTTACTAAACCCAACTGACAGTCTTAAAAAACAATGCAAAAAAAGGAAAGCCCTTGTCTAATTTTTACCACATTTTCAGATTTTACCACATTCTCACCCTGTTATTTACTTGTTAATTTTATTTTTAGGCTTCTGTTTTTGTCTTACCTGCTTCTGGAACCGTTCTTCACCGGACGTAAACCCCATCGTCGTGGTCAACTCCTCTTTGCGTTTTAAGTCCGCCGACGTACAGTACATGGCAAGCTACGTGACAAACTGGTAACAGCGGAAAAGCAGTCCACATGAAGGTAAGCGGTCAGATGGTAAGCGCAAAAAAGAACAGCATCACACCGCCCCGTAGCATTCATTTTAAAAACATACTTCTGGATACATAATTCATGATCTCCAGAAACATATATAGGGCTATGTTTTCAGAATGAGGCTGTGTTGGAAAAATCAAGACTTTCACTAACTTCCTTGTTTTTAAAAACCCAGTTGACAGATTTTTATGTGAAGGACTTTGGACACAGAAATGTGAGAAATATGCCATTCATTCTTTTTTTTAATTATGCTCATTGATGTGAAAAAAAATCTCACTTTAATCAGATTTTATATGTTTTAAATTTAAAAAATCTATTTTAATCAAGCAAGCAAAAATATCTATTCATAAACACTAAATATTTGTGTGTGTTAAAACAAATGCATGGCAAGAGAGGAACTACATTCAGCATCTTTAGGGTCAGCAGGTTTAACAAAGGCGTTTACAGATGTAAGAGCCCACATACTCAAAACTCTTGTTCCCCTGACTCACAAAAGAACCAGATGTGCGCCTGGGTTATATTTGCATTCTGCAATGTCTGAAGGCATCAATGCAAAAAAAAAAAAAAAAGTGGGCATATATTCCAGAGGATATTTCTCATTCTAAATCTGGATGTGATCAGGCTCTGATTAAACCAGCTTTGATTACTTTACACACTCAGGTAGATGACGGATTGCATTAGATTTCTTTGTTTACCCTAATTACCCATTGAAGCTGCAGTCACATCAGCCGTTCACTGTGGTACATGCTGTTCCTATGACAACTGCCTCACTGTCATGGTATGGTATTTAAGAATTCCCCTCCATTGAGACAAAATCTCATCGCATTTCACAGGACAATTACATTACAGACAGGTGGAGGAGGTCACAGGGATTTATATATATCTTTATATTTCATTCAAATCCTTTACTTGAACATATGAACTTGTGTTTGTAAAAGTGCAACCTGTTTTCCTACCTCTCGTGCTGTGTGTTTATGTGCCACAGCGTCACACGCTTGCATCCGACTTGCTCTGGGAAAAAAAAAAAAATAGGTCATCCTTAAAACAAAAAGGGTGCAGTCAACATAGCAACCGTCTGCTGTTTTTTGATTGGCTGACTTGTTTCCATAGTAACAGGTTAACCTTGAGGCTGCAGTCGCAGACCAGTTTGTTGTCTGTGCGAATCCAGCATGTATGAGCTGCTCTGCTAAGTCAAGATGTCACCCATGTTTTTCAGCTACACTGGAGAAAGGGGTCTTGCTCAGGAGCCAATGAAATGCTTCAGAAAGGCTACAACCATCTCCATATTCTAATATCAGCATTGTCCAATGTCTTTAAAAAGCATACGCCCATTCTGAATTTCATATTGTGTAGCACAACATAACATGTAGCGTACTGACATTTTAAAATAAGAAAAAAGTGATATTTTTGATGCAGTTTAGTGTATTTTCAGAGTTTACATTTCAGAGTTTAAAAATTCTTCATTTACATTCATTGTTCTACATTCACAAGTTAAGTTTAATTAAATCTGAGAGGATTCAGTCCCTCTTTTGGCTACTACTTTCAAAGCTCAAAAACATGGTAAAGACATCATTGAATAAATCAATAACTATGTTTCCATCGAAATATGCTAATTAAATTTATGTGCAAAACTGGAATATCACATAAATGATGTGCGAATCAAGCACTGTTTCCATCCAACGAGTCCAAGAGAACAAAATCATCACTTTCTGATTAACTGGCATCAAATATCAACAGTAAAAATGGAATTTATTGGGGTAGGAGATTCTGCGTCAAGCTTTTCTTTATTTAATAAATGATTTGCGTGATAAACGCGTGGTGGCATTTGAAGGCATCAGATGTGAAGCACAGACACTATTGACATTTCTGAAGATGACTAATAATATAATAACACTAATACTTAAAATGATAAAGGCATTTTAGAATGACCAAAACAACATTTTAGATGCCTTAAGCAGGTCGCACACCAGAAGCGCCGCTCGGCGCCGCGACACGGCGCGTACATGACAATTTAAAGTATCGCACACCAGACGCGCACATTCGAATGATATTTAACATGAAACTAATCAGATGGCGCTCTGTGGCGCGGCTGAAAAATGAACTGCGTCCTGAGCCGTCGCCGGGCGCCGCCGACAGCCGCCGACTTGCGGCGCCGGTGTGTGTATCCTGATAGAAACCTTAGTTTAGAATTCTAAAATGCGTGGCGCTGCGTGGCGCTGCGCGGCGCTGCGCGCCGCCGAGCGGCGCTTCTGGTGTGCGACCTGCTTTACAGAGCTCAGCCTGCTGGTTTGTCCATTCATACACATTTTGATCATCACATGATCTTTTATAACAAAATTACGACTTTTTTAATGCACATGCTGGAATTTATCGGTTAAAAAAAAGTGGTTCCATCTTAGTTTATGCAATCTTTTCTTTTCGAATAAAAAGTTTATACTACTAAGTTATGCACATACATTTTTTTATGCGTTTCCATTAACCATTTTTTATGCGCATCTTCAAAATGTGCATAAAAGTAGGTGAATGGAAACATAGCTAATATGACTCCAGTGGTTCAATTTAGGCCTGCGTACTACAGTATATAATTTTAGCATCAGTATTGTATTTTATTTCGTATTTATACAGAATTTATATGATTTAACACTTCTTAAAAAACATTTTTTTTCACTTATTTCTAGAAAAAAAATCAATACTCCAAAGCGAAAAACAGATTATTTTCTTCCTCACTGGCAAAAAATTTAGCTTGTTTTAAGGAAAAACTCATAATTTTGGCCTATTTTTCCTGAAGTAGAAAACTAAAGAATATTTTTACTTGATTTAGGAATTTTTGATATATAGACTGGACACAAGACAAACCAAAGTAAGAAAAGCATTGTTTTGCATTGCAATTATTCAATTTCTGTACATGAATACTGTTGGGCTTGTCAGAAAACTAATTCAACTATCTTGTGAAACTGTATTCATATTGCAATATTTATTGCAGAAAAATAAAATATTGCGATATCAGATTTTTCTAATATGGTGCAGCCCTAGTTCTAATTTTACATTTGATTTTACTTTGACAGGAATGTTTTTGAGAAATAAATAAAATAATATATAATTGATTGAGGGCAACTCAGTGGTGGAGTGGGTAGCACTGTCGTCTCACAGCAAGAGTCCCTGGCTTGAGCCTCGGCTGGGCATTTCTGTGAGGAGTTTGCATATTCTCCCCGTGTTTACGAGGGTTTCCTCCGCGTGCTCTGATTTACCCCACAAGTCCAAAGACATGCAGTGCAGGTGAATTGGGTAAGCTGAATTATCCGTAGTGTATATGTGTGAATGGCCGTGTATGGGTGTTTCCCAGTGAATGCAGCTGGAAGGGCATTCACTGCGTAAAACATGGTGGATAAGTAGGCGGTTCATTACGCTCTGGCGACCCCAGATTAATAAAGGGACTTAGCCAAAAAGAAAATTAATAAATCATTGATTGAACAATTGCATTACTTTGTCAACATTCAATGCACATTTACAAGAGCAACCTAAAACATGTGTGTTGTGTTGATGTGCGTGCAGATGTTTTTCATGATGTAAATTATAAGCCATACCAGAAGTGCAGCACAGTTTACAGATGGAGAAAGAGGAATGCAGTGAGCAAGCTTTGTTAACTAATTTCTTCACCGATGGCGCTTTGCATCTTGTTTTTTTTCAATGGTGTTGAATGGTGCAGTTCCTACATGGCATTTTTTCACACATTCCCAGTAAATGATTATGAGTTACTACAGCTATGGCTGCTGGCTGTTCATCAGGATGTTAGTTTACCACTTCAACACATCAAGCTAATGTTTGTTAACAGTGAAGGTTTCTGGGGTGAGTTGTATTTTGTGAATATCTGCTCTTATATCAACACAATAAGTGTGCAATGCAGTGCTCTTTTAAATGCACATCAGAAATTTATGCAGAGAAATATCACCTGTTAAATTTTCAGTTTTTTTTCACAATTGGTCCCATATTGGAGAGCGTAATATAAACTGTAGCTATGTTTTCATCCACCTATTTCAATGCACATTTTAGAATTTGCATAAAAATGTTTAATGAAAATGCAAAGATGTGCAGGGATAAAATTTCTGTCAGAAAAAAAGTGCATAAAATATGATGGAAATACATTAACAGAATAAATTCTAGTATGCATAAAAAAGTGATTTTGTTATAACAAATCATGTGATGACAAAAACGAGCATGATAAAATGACATTAATGACATTGAACAAACCAGTGGACAATGAATGAAATATTGTTTCTGTCATTCTAAAATCCCTCAGCCAAAGTTTGTCAGATATTTTCCAGAACTGGGCTGTGGTCCCAAAGAGTGGTTTTGTGCCCTTAAAAAACACATTGTGTTTCATCTTTGTCTTTCTAGGGCACAATATATTTAATGTAAGAAAAAATGCTGACAGATGCTCCCCCTAATGAAACAAATTCTGTTATACTGTTTTATATTTGGCGCCAGTTTATCAGGAAGTGAAGTTTTTGTTTCTTTTTGACTCATTGGATCTAAACAGTGCTTAATTCGCAAATGTTTAGCGATATCCTAGTTTTGTGCACATCTTTGGATAGAAACAGCTAATGGCGAAACTAACTAGCTAACTAATTAATGAAACTTGCATATTTTACTAATAACTTGTGCTTAAAATGATCAATTACTATCATCTTTTGGCCTGAACTAATTAGTTAGACCAGGAAAAACTATTTAGAACAACGTTACTAGAGACTTATAAAAGTTGTAACAAATCAAGCAAAATAGATTCTATTAAACTCAGTTTGTCAACAACTTATATCTTTTCAGCTTACTAAGATTCTATATAATTAGCTCTCTATATAATTTATCAGCTAGCACACTTTTTTCATAGTTTACACTGCATAAATAAGCAGAACATGAGGCAGACATCCATGAGGCAGACATCCACATATTTCCACAATGGCTGTGCGTATGGCTAACAGATAAAATCATCATGTAAACAACCAGGTCTTTATATTGTTGAAGTTTTATTTGAATATAATATCTGAAATTGGAGGATAAACGATTAAAAAACAAAAACAAAAAACATTTTAAAATCTGCATACGGACATCAGCAATGCTCATTTTAGGTTGTGAAGGCATTCTGTGAAGGCATTTTAACTTAAGCAATAGTAAACCAGCACTAACCCGTATTGATTTACTTTAACAGGTATAGGCTGTGTGTGATGATTACCTTGACAGAGATAGTTCTCTGTTTTGATAACCGATGATAACATTGCTTTGCTCTCGTCATGATCGGTCATTATTTAGTTCTTCGTGGCTAAAGCAGCGGCGCCATGCAACGATGAAATCCTTATCGCTCACAGCGCCCTCTCTTGGTGAACATAATCACTACTAGACGATTGCTCAGGTGATCTCCAGCTATGTTAGCTTTCTGAGTGTAGGCTATTTGGGGCTATTTTTAAAGTGCTGAAAATTGTGACAGGTCTGGGAACAGCTTCAGACGAGGACAGAACACCAAAAATCTGGATTGTCATTCTAAAACAGCACCTTAAAAAGATTTACACGAAAAAATAATACTCAATATTTACTCACACTCAAGTGGTTCATACCTGCATAAATTAGTTTTTTCTGTAGGAAAACAAATACTATAAAAGTCAATGGTTACAGTTATCCAACATTTTTCAAAAAAATGTCTGTGTGTTCAACAGAAGAAAGAAACACAAACAGATTTGTGACAAGTAGACCGAGTAGCCATTATGGAATTTTCAGTTTTGGTGAACTACTTGAAATGATGAGTTTATAGAATACACACATTTGCTGCATATAAAGCTCAAGTAAAGTAGTTTATTAACATTAAACAAACAAAACAAAACAACAACAATATGCATATTTTTAGCTATTGCCTCTAAAACAAGAATAACTACAAAGATGTCAGTCAGTGTACAGTTCAGGACACATATTTAATCATTAATATGACTTTTGTAACAGTGCATACACATCTGAACTGAACTTTGAGTTGATTTTGCACTAGACTCAACATTGTGAACAGTCTTAAGACATGGAGGAGACAGATCCAGCACCAACAACATGCTAGGACAACTACAGTTGCCCATGTTAATTAGTGTGAGAGGATTAAAAGATATTCAGAAATCAGTAGGCTATCTTTTTAAACAAACCCAAATACATTTATTTTGATTAATAAAAACTACAAGACTAGAGTATGACTGATAGAGCTCATAAATCACTACTGAAAAAACCTTTGAAATAATGTAAATAATTTGGTGAAGTGATATGGACTATAATGTGGTCAACAGACCTGGAACAACGTGTTTACTTGGAAATAAAGTTGCTATGTTTTTGCCCTAGTTGCAAATGGTCAGATTCTGGACATTTGTGAAAAATGTAGCTCCAGTTGAGCCAAATAGGTCATATCTGCGAAGTGCTGAAAAGACTGAGAATGTCTGGTTCATTTCTTCAGATAATATGTGCTGGTTATGAGGTTAGTTTTCTATCAGCCGCCCGTTTCCAGCTGCCTAATTTGGTAAGACAGTTTGATCTCAGAAAAGACTTGTTTATGCCAAGTTCCCTTCATTTTGTTGAAACAGATGTCGCATTTATCTTTTAGAACCTTCTACAGCGTTGTCCTTCTAACAACATTATTTTCAAGTTCTCTCTTATGTCCTCCTTGAATGGCTTTTCATTATTTCATCTCAATAGAGCTTTCTTCAGTTATTCTCAATAGAAAATCCCTTCACCTTCACCCAGAGCAGTTCTTGAGCTCAGAAAGTGTGCAGTCATTTACTCTCAGGACTTCTAGTTCCACAAAAACAACTTGAGCTTCTTTGATTAGCTATAATGTAACAGCAAAGTCAAGGCCTTCTGTTAAGATTGTGAAAACCTTTTGATTTTATTGTCTATAAATTCTTAAACAGTCTATTTTCGAAGCATTTTATTTCCATATATGTTGGTTGTGGATTTTCTTATTGAACACACAAAAACACAATATTAGAGAGACGGAGAGATGTACTGCCCTCTGGTGTTGAAGACGTGGCAGCACATATGCAAACATACATTAAAATTAAAAATAAAAATAAAATAAAATAAAAAAGATCTCAGAAAGCTTAATTTGAGATACATAATGTGTTTTAAAAGTTTTAGAAACGCAGGGCATCTTTAAATGATCAAGGCATTGTCAGGTGTTTGAAAGTTTTATTTTATGTTGAATGGATAACACCAAAAATGGTCAAATGGGTCCAGCCATTCTTACATTTGTACGTTTACACAGATATTATAAACTAATCTATAAATTCACAATTAATTTTGTGACTGTCTTTAAGAAGAAAATGGTCTAATAGAACCTTAAATCAATTTATCAGATTTACAGTATTTTAACAGATAAAACAAACATTTGTTGTTTCAGATCACACCAGAAAAGGCTAGAAAATTAAGTGGTACAAAATACTGTGCTCAAGAGTGTGTTAGAAATACTGGTGAATCATTATTGTTTCTATAGCATAAGTTAAGAAATTACAGCACAGCAAGTGTTGATTCTCACTTCTCATAACTGCTTGAAGAAACCTCTGTCAGACCTCAGATGAGCAACTGAGGGGTTCTTGCTGATCTTCTTCACTCCAGGATGAAGACCCATCAGTTCCAAAGTAGCGGTCACCAAAGTCCCCTTTAATGACAGTAATTAAAAACCCGCAATTTTTTCTTAGTGTACATAGTGTAATTTCCCTTGTTAACATGTAGAAAGGCTTGAGTTCAATTATTAAACTGTTAGAGAATTTCTAAAAACAAAATGTTGATGGAAAAAAATATGGGCCAAAGGCAAGACAAAAGAAATTTACAAAGAATTAAATGATAAATGCAGGTGTCATATGTTTCAAAATATGTGTGAAAATATAATGTCAAAATATCTATGAGATTATGTGTCAATGTCATTCAGAGTTAAATATATTTTCAAGTAAAAACCATACTTATTGTGAGCAGTATTTAATCAAAATAATAAAATATTAATCATATAGATTATATTTTAAAGGTTTAACAACATCTGGGTGACAAAAGAGTAAGCATGGTGGTTTCAATGATAGTGGCAAAATATAAAGATTTAAAATGACAGTTAATTAGCATTTCGGGGCTGCATTGTGATCTGTAAAAACACTTTAATATGTCAACAAGTAAAAATTTATTTTTTTTGGTGGGGGGGGTGGGATTTATGCCGTTTTTATTTGGAGAGAGCAGAAGAGAACAGACAGGAAAGCTTGGGACACAGAAAGAGAGGGGAACAGGAATGGCGGATGAACTTAAGGTGGGAATCGTACTCGATCACTGCGAGCACTACAGTGCTATATGTCAACACCAGCAATGTAATCAAGTAAGTCTTGATGATTTATTAATACACTTTACATATAACAATAATAGCAAACATATTTTCCAAGTTGTACTCTATTGGCTGTACTTTGGATCTAGTGGATGTAGACTTGCTAAGCAGAAGAGACTATATTCAAAGTGACTATATTCAAAATGTGTATCTATATTTCTCTCTCTCTCTATATAAAGCTTAACAGAACAGCTTTTGAAACATAAACATTTTAATTATTTAACTTTTCATTCAGTCATTCATTTAAAATGTATCAGCCTTTTTCATCAAAAACTTTTGTCTCTGTATCAGGAAATCTCACCTATCCCTGGAATGACATGAAGGAGGTCATCTAGACTCTTGTCCACAGCAGTGGTGATGATTTTGACACGAGGAAAGGCATACGCTATTGAATGAACTCCCAACTCTGCCATCAGCAGAGACACCAACACAATCTGCTCTTCCTGGACATCGTGATCCTGAACACACACACACACACACACACACACACACACACACACACACACACACACACACACACACACACACACACACACACACACAATAAATAGTCATCATTCACTCAAATTTTTTAATGGTGAAACAAACAAGATGGAAAATATTCTGCAAAACAATAGTTATGCATTTGATAGCATCAAATGAAAATATTTTCTTTCTCAGAAGTCAATAGGTGCTGTTTAGATATCAGCATTCTTCAAAATATCTTCTTTGGTGTTTAGCAGACAAAAGAAAATCAACCGTAAGCAGGTTTTAAACAAATTGTAACTATATCCCATTAAATCCATTAAAGGTGTGTGGAACAAACACCCATCATGGTTTTGTACAGTTTAGAATGGAAATAAGGTGGACAGCCACATACCAGCAGCACTCTCACTGCCATCATGGCTGCAGCTCCGGTGGAAACAGTGCTGTCCATCAGAATCACATGGTCTTCACTGATGTCTCTGGGCAGCCGCAGGTAATGCAGCTGAAGGTAAGAGGAGTCTGTGTTACCATACAAACTAAACCAATATTGATAAAACTGAGGAGTCTCTGGACATTTCTGTTATCACCAACACAGCCATGAAAATAACCACAGATGTAAACAAAAAACATCACAGCCTAATGACAGGCACATTAAATCTGTGGCCAGCTTTTATTTTTAGAAGCTGGCTGTAAACATGCTATGTATTCAAGATGCTATGTGTTCAGTTATGGGGATGACATGGTGGCTCAGTGGTTAGCACTGTCGCCTCACAGCATAAAGGTGATTGGTTTGAGTCCAAGCTGGGCCAGTTGGCATTTCTTTGTGGAGTTTGCATGTTCTCCCTGTGTGTGGGTTTCCACAGTAGATTATTAAATTATCTGTAGTTTGTGAATGCAAGAGTGTATGGGTGTTTCCCAGTGCTGGGTTGCAGCTGGAAGGGCATTCGCTGTATAAAACATATGCTGCATACTGTAAGTTGGAGGTTCATTCCGCTGTGGTGAACCTTGATGAATAAAGTGACTAGCCCAAAGGAAAATTAACAAAATAATGAATGTGTTGAGTCACTTGAGGCCTGTGTACCTCTGGTTCTCCTGAATCCAGATTAGTCTGAATCAGAATCTTGCCAATGCGGACGTCTTTGCACACGGCTCTTAAAGCCGGCTCCATGGTCTCACCTGCCCGAAGAATAGACACACCAGTGATCTAGGAGACAGAAAGACTGGTGCTGATTCAAACCAACATGACATCAATCAAATTACAAACTACAAATTACAAATTATATGAACATTGTAAAGATAACTTGTCAGGCACAAAAATTTACCCCTTTGCCACCAAATCTGCACCCTTTGTACTCTTGACCTTGTGGTGTCTGTATAGTACAGGGCTGTAAAAAAGGTAAAATAATAATTTTTTTAGAAAAATCAAAACAAAATTCTGTACAGCTGAATTTTTTTTTTCCTCTGTATTGATATAGTTTTTTTTTGTTTTGTCTTTATTGAGGGAATATACACAAATAATCTAAAAAAAATTTTTTTACTTATGCAAACAAAATAGGACAGAATATTTCCTTTTATGATTATTGAATATTATTATATAAGGATTATGTAAATATAGACCTAAAATATACACTCTGTATACACTACCGGTCAAAAGTGCGGGGTCAGGTTTTTTTCATGTTTTTTTAAGAAAATTATTCTGTTTATCAAGATGGCATTTATTAAATGTAAAACAAATTTTTGAATATTTATAAAAATGTTAAATAACTGCTTTCTTATTGTAAGTACTTTCATATATAATTATTACTTCATTCATTATTGCTTTCAGTACTATTACATTAATAATAATAATAATTATTATTATTATTATTATTATTATTTATTAGAGTGATTTCTCAAGGATCATGTGACGCTGAAGTCTGGAGTACTGAAGCTGAAAATTAAATATTTAAATTATTGCAATAAATTATTAAGTTAAATGATGAGCTACTTTTGAACATTTATTTTATAGTGCAATAACATTTAACTTTTTTTACAATTTTTACTGTATTTTTGATAAAATAAATGTAGCCTTGGTGAGCAGGACAAGCTTATTTTAAAACATTTCAAAATTCTACTGACCCCAAACCTTTGATTGGTATGTATTCTTGATCTACTTACAGATTATTCAGAGTCTAAGAATAAATGTCTAATGTATTCTATTTAACGTATTGTATAATAAATGTATTGCAGTGTTTATTGTTTAGTACACGGACATATGTATGCCAGACAACAAACATAATTTTTTAAGATTGTGTGTGTGTGTGAGTATATATATATATATATATATATATATATATATATATATATATATATATATATATATATATAGAGCCTCCCTTATTATTATTATTTTTTATATTTCCCAAATGATGTTTAAGGAAATTTTCACAGTATGTCTGATAATATTTTTTTCTTCTAAAGAAAGTCTTATTTGTTTTATTTCGACTAGAATAAAAGCAGTTTTTAATTTTTTAAAAACCATTTTAAGTTCAAAATTATTAAAGGTTCAGGACACCCCGGTGAAACTTTTTTTTTTATATATTAACAGATGTGTGTGTGTTGAGCATCAGTTAAGACAATGTTAGCACCTGTCATCTGTAATTGTGGGGAAAACTGGATAATTTTGAGCTTTTGTCAGCTAATTTCAGCTTACGGGTTTAAAATGATTTTTGGGGCGGGATCAAAATCGGCGACGTGGCGCAGTACTGCAAGTGCAATGATGAAGCATCGGTTTCTCATTATTATTCATAGCGGGGTTTTATTATCCTATGAGAAGAGCCGGCTGCTTAATTATTCATTAGACCTGCCAGACCTGCCAGTGTCAAGCCCGAGCTGAGAGACACGGAAACCACGGCACAGTATTTAGCCGTTCATGAAGGCTCATATGCGTTTGTTTCCATCATCCACTGGGTTTGTTGCATGTTTTCCCCCGCGATCTTGTCAGGCCGATCATACAGCAAAGCTGTGTGTGTGCTGCAAGCATTTTTATCGGGAGAGCAGCACAAGAATTAGAGAATGGCGGACGCTGTCTTTTATCAGGAGTTCGTTCACATTCAGACACATCGCCGTGCTGCTGTGTTTGCCTAAATCCTCCAGATTACCAACTGGGTTAATGGTTAAAATAGACAGGTCAGGAGATCTGCTCCACTGAGTCTGCTGGATACGGGGATTGAGGGAGAAGTCCTCATTTATAGTGTTTACATGAACACACTTATCTTTATAATGATATAAATTGTGGTTGTCTGTATATGAAATTACGAATAACAAATGTAGCAGGGCATTAAATCACTCTTTGCATTTTAACTTTGTAAACTATAAACTCATGCGTCTCCTCACGGTTTGTGTCTCATTTTGTGAGCTAACTGACAACAACAGTTGTTCGCTCACGTTCTCCCCTGCTGGCCACGCCCACTCCTGCCCTGTGCTCGCTATATATATATATATATATATATATATATATATATACACACACACTGCTGTCTGTTCAAACTGTTTATTTAAAATGAGCTAAAACAACACAATTAACTAATAAGTACTGTTGCACAACTCAAATCGATTGTTTAAAAACCAGCATTATTTACAGTGTACATAAAATAAGTAAAAGTATATAAAATAATTACCCACTCACTTTATTTAGCATAATGAATATTTTTTTTTGTATGACTCAATTAGTATTGTATTTTGACCAAAATGCAGATCAAAGAGTAACCCCCATAATTTAATGTGATTATATTTATAATCACACATATACACTTATTAATTAATTCAATGAAAACATTTATGCATTTATATGTGAATATTAGGAATGTATTTGATTAATGAAGTGGTTTGCATGTAATCACTTTAAATTCAAAAACGTTTTCATATACACGTGTGACTACTAGCAAGTAATCTAATTACTTAACCGAAAGCCCATTTAATTAATTCCCCTCTAGTTATATTTTGAATCATCAGAGATTTAGCTTTGATCATGCAATGATATCAAACTTTGCCAAAAAAAAAAAAAAAAAAAACCCTGACCGGCATACATAGAAACTGAAAAACACCCACACACCTTGGCGGGCAAGAAAGACAGCGCGTGTTCAATAAGCAAGCGCATCAGTCTCTTTGAGTAGAAGATGAACTCGTCACGGCTGGTGTCTTTGTTCCTAAAAACAAACAGAAAAATTGAGGAGGAGTGCAGAAGAGATGCACAAGAAAGGCTAAAGCGGCTAGTGACTCATTAGCTTGATTCCCACAGTAAGAGAAAAGATGTGAGGAATTCTGAATGGCAGCAACATATGAATGGATGCTGAAACAACAAGCGCGATCATCTAAAAGCAAGCTTTCTTTTCATTCATGTGACACTCACCTGATGATGGTGTGAAGACCTCGAACCTGCGGTGTGCTTTCCAAAACACTGAGAGTCTGAGGGAGGGGCTGGGATTGATGGGCCGTGGCCAGAAGTGCCCTGTATGTGCGTGCGTGTATGTGCACATATGAAAAAGAAGAAACATGCAGCACCGTCAAATAAAGGACAAAAAGAAGAGTCAAATACAAATGAAGGACACCTTTACACCCAGCCTTGACATGTATAACTATACACTGAATGCAACACTAAAGGAGCTGGGCTTTTTGCCTTCATTTATAACCATCCATGCATGTATGCACTCACACATACACACGCACGCATGCACACAGAGATTGGGCTTTCAGGTTTTATGGAGATGTACAATAGATGTAAATATCCCTTTACATTTTCAAAAGAATCAATCTTGAATGATTTATGAGCTTTTTTCCTCACAACGTAGTGAACACCCACACATATGGTGTTACGTAAAAAAGTTAAAAATAATAATAATAATAATAATTAACAATTATTTTCACATTATTTAGCTTTAACAATAACTAATTATTTAGTTAAGTATTTAGTTATTTTTTTAAAAGCGACTTTAGATATTCTATTTAGTATATATCACTTTTTTTGGCAACAATGTATACAGCTATGGAAAAAAAAAGAGAGCATTTAATAAATGCAGTACATCCAGAGAAACTGACATTGTTCAAGTATTGGTTTAAGTAAAATGTTAATTTATGTCTACTGGTAAAATAACTTTTCTTCTAGACTTTAAATATAAAAAATACTGCTAATAAAATATAAAATATTCATAACAATAAAATATCAAAACATAAAACATTTCTTTTAGGAAAATAAAAAATGATCAGAATACCTTTTATTTTATCATTTGTTGTGACTGAAAGCAATGACTATTCAACTACTTTTTTCCTAATTCTCCTGAAGTTAAAAGACTCACAGTCTGTTGTCTTAAAATGAATATAAACATGTCTGAAAACATTTTATGCTACAAAATATTTATTTGAGATTTTTTGTTTTTTTTTACGTTTTAAATTTAAAGTAATATAACAGGGAAGTTTTTTTGTTACTGTGTAAAGTACTTTTTGACTAGAGTCCTCTCAAACCACCAATATCAATTTGCTTGAGTGTGTGTGTGTGTGTGTGTGTGTGTGTGTGTGTGTGTGTGTGTGTGTGTGTGTGTGTGAGAGTGAGAGAGAGAGAGAGAGAGAGAGAGATGTATGAGTATAATATAATAATATGAGTATAATATGTATAATATAACGATATTTATATGAGTTTATATGAGTGGAATTTGAGAGAGAGAGAGAGAGAGAGAAAGAAGGTGTGTGTTTAAAAATTATTTTATTTAATATACTTAATCCTTGAGATTGGTATAATAAATAAAACATATATACCAACTGATATGAATATTAACTACTGTGTATTAATGTCTGTGTAGACATTTTCATATTTGAAAGTCAATTTCTGTGCATCTATACACTAAATGCACACATACATATTGCTTGTGTTTATACAGGCCCGTAGCCAGCCTGGTGAAAGGGGTGGTTCTTTTTTTCTCAAAAAGTGGACCTTTTTGCAGTTACTCGCTTCATTTTCTTTTTAACTATGAGATTTAAACACTGCATGTTAGTGACATGGTTAGCACTATCATCAGCTGAACTAGCTTGTCAGGTGGTCATCATAACCACACTTTTTGATGTGCCAAAACATTTCTAAAGATTTAAAATAAAGAAATATTTTTAAAAACGTATGTATTATTTTTAAAATACAAATTCATCACATCATATATCATTAGGCAAAAAAGGAAACTGTTAAGCATTTGAATTAAAAACTGCCAATTTTGCAAAGTAAATTGTCATTTATTAGGCAAATAACAAACTGGCTAGCACATTCAACTTTCCTGTCAGAATTTGGCCACTTGTTATAAAAAAAATAAAATAAAAATAAAATAATAATAATAATAATAATAATAATAACAATAAGAATAACAATAAGAATAATAATGTAGAAATTCCTGCTTGTAGCCTCTCCTGTAAAAGTACATTTGAAAGTGCATGGATAACAACAATAGCCTAATTAGCATTAAAATTAACTTTTAGGTTTCAAAATTAAATTTTGGTACTTCACACCTTTTTTATTGGTATTTTATTCTTTCAAGAATAAGGTTAAGAATAAACGTTACTTGTAAAATGTTTTCTCTATTTAACAATACAATTGGTCAGTATTGAAAGATGACTTCACTTATCTCAGATTCTTTTCTGTCTTAAAGCCTTCTTCACAATAAATGTTGGCACACCAGTCAAAATTGGACAAATGAGCTCATGCATGGGACAAATTGTCATTGAGGGGTGGGTGGGTCTTTCTAACACCCCAAACCCTCCCTGGCTACGGGCATGTTATGTGCAAGTGTGAGAGAAAGAACAAAAAGCTTCTGCTACCTGACACTAATCTCACGCTGTCAGGAGAATGCATGCAACAGAACAGAAATGAAAAATCAGCAAAAAAAAAAAAAAAACTGAAAGAGAAAAAGTGAGCATGCTGAGAAGTTTAAATAGGCAACCTAAAAAAAAAAGAAGTTGCAGAACTTTTATTCACAGGCAGAGGGCACTGTTTCTGTGTGTTGAAATGTGAAAGGAAGCTGAAGAAGAAACTTCATGTCTATTTAACAAGCTGCATCCACACTAATATTTTTCAATAAAATGTTGTTGAAAATTGTTGAAACATTTTTTCTCAGTCACTCACTTCTTCCAGCTGGCTGTGAACATGCTGAACGATCAGGTCAATGGCCACCATGTTTCCTCCACCTGTGTGGGAATGAGAAAAGTTAATAGTGCTCACATCTATATCCATAAGCTTCAATTATTAATTGCAGAAGAGCATATACGTTAAACTCACCACGTGGAACTACAATGTCAGAAAGTCTCATGGTGGGCTCAATATACTGCTCAAAGGCTGGTTTTACAAACTTATTGTATTGTTTAATGACACCCTCAATGTCCCGTCCTCTCTCTGTGATGTCTCTCCTCAGCCGCCGTACCAGACGAATGTCTGAATCTGTATCTACAAAGATCTTCATGTCCATCAGCTGCAAGAATCATAAAAACATATGCACTTTCTTCTTCAGCCAGAAAATTTGGTTAATTCATTAATATACAGCAAAACTGTATTTTCAAATACATTTTTTGATGACTGAAGTATATTAGCATATAGAAGATAAAAAATCTAACAAATATTGACTAAAAGTCTAATGCTTTTATTATATTCCATTGCGTTAAAGCTATAGTTTACCCCGAAAAAGGATTTTTCTACAGTTTTTTTTTTTTTTTACACACAGGTAAATACTCTTACTGGCCACTTTTTTTAGGTGCACCTTACTAGTACCGGGTTAATCCTTCGTGGCAAAGATTCAACAAGGTACAGGAAATATTCCTCAGAGATTCTGGTCTATAATGACATGATAGCATCACACAGTTGTTGCAGATTTGTCGGTTGCACATTAATGATGTGAATCTCCCCTTCTACTACATCCCAAAGGTGCTTTATTGGAATGACCTCTGGTGACTGTGGAGGCCATTTCGAGTACAGTGAACTCATTGGCATGTTCAAGAAACCTGAGATGATTCGCGCTTTATGACATGTCGCGATACCATATTAGAAGTAGCCATCAGAAGATGGGTAGACTTTGGTCATAAAGGGATGGACATGGTCAGCAGCAATACTCAGGTAGGCTGTGGCATTAACACGGTGCTCAATTGGTACTAATGGGCCCAAAGTGTGCCAAGAAAATATCCCCCACACCAGTACACCACCACCACCACCAGCCTGAACTGTTGAAGGCAGGATAGATCCATGCTTTCATGTTGTTGACAGCAAATTCTGACCCTACCATCTAAATGTTGCAGCAGAAATTGAGACTAATAAGACCAGGCAACGTTTTTCCAATTTTCTATTGTCCAATTTTGGTGAGCCTGTGTGAATTGTAGCCTCAGTTTTCTCTTCCGGTGTGGTCTTCTGCTGCTGTAGCCCATGCACCTCTAGGTTCAATGTGTTGTGTGTTCAGAGATGCTCTTCTGCATACCTTAGTTGTGGTCAGAGTTACTGTTGCCTTTCCATCAGCTGGAACCAGTCTGGCCATTCTCCTCTGACGTCTGGCATTAACAAGGCATTTGTGCCCACAGAACTGCCGTTTACTGGATATTTTCTCTTTTTCAGACCATTCTCTGTAAACTCTCGGTGGGTTTAGGAAATACTCAGACCAACCCATCTGGCACCAACAACCACACCACATTCAAAGTCACTTAAATCACAAGTCTTCCCCATTCTGATGCTCAGTTTGAACTGCAGCTGATTGTCTAAATGCATTGAGTTGCTGCCATTTAATTGGCTGATTAGAAATTTGTGTTAACATGCAGTTGAACCTAATAAAGTGGCCAGTAAGTGTATATGTTATGTTCATTAAATACAGTAATACAATATAGCAAAGATACAAATAAAATGAACATAACCTAATAAAGTGGCCGGTGAGTGTAAATAAAAACATTCTAGAATTTTCCAAACCTTTCAGGATTTTTTCCTACTATGGATGTCAGTATAGCTACTGGATATAAATATTTATCAAAGTTTCTTCTTTTGCCTTTAACAAGAAAAAAAAAAACCTTTATTCATTTTCCTTCAGCTTAGTCCCTTTATTTATCATATATCGCCACAGCAGAATGAACCGCCAACTTTTCCAGCATATGTTTTACACAGCGGATGCCCTTACAACTGCAACCCAGTGCTGGGAAACACCCATACACACTCACATTCACACTCATACACTACGGACAATTTCGTTTATTCAATTCACCTATAGCGGATGTCTTTGGACTGTGGGGGAAACCCGAGCACCCAGAGGAAACCCACGCCAAGACGGGGAGAACATGCAAACTCCACACAGAAATGTCAAGCCAGGACTTGAAGCATCAACCTTCTTGCTGTGAGGCGGCAGCACTAACCACTGAGCCACAGTGCTGCCCTGCTTGGAACATGTGGAGAGTAAATATTGTTTTTTGGATGAACTATCTCTTTATGATGGATTTGTGATAAATGGACCCCCAACATTAAAAAAAAAAAAAAAAAAAATCAAACACATTTTTATCATTTACTTTGCTTTGAATATTTCTAAACATTTCCAAAACATACAGAACAGGAATATTTTATTATACCTGCAAGAGCTCTTTGTCTGCAAAGGATAAGATGCCTTCGAAGATAATGACGCTGGCACCGTACACGTTTTTCTGAAAGAGCAGGGAGTGAGCACATTAAAAAAAGATCAAACAAAATGAAATCTTCATGCTATTACTATAAATTACGACTCTATCTGTGGTATGTTTTTAATATAGCTCTGGAAAATATGTGAAACATCTCCCTTACACACACTCACTCACCCACTCTTTCTGGCGTCCATGTGTGGTGAAGTCATACACTGGGATTTTTACACTCTTGCCCTGTTTAAGTTTTCTAAGCGTGGTCACAAGCAGCTCAAAGTCGAAAGCTCCCGGATGGTCAAAGTTATAGTCGTTGCTAGCCGCCAGAGCTTGTTCTTCTGCAGACAGAACCTGCAGATGGGAACATAAAGGTTGGATGTTTTATCACTGATGGGGCGACACAGACACTGTAGAGATCACCATCCTGCCCTATCACCATATGTGCTTTAACAGTCAAGCAACAGATGCTATTCTGAATACATTATCCACATACAGTTAAAGTCAAAATTACAATAATTTTGAAAGATTAAATGAGAACTCACATAGGATACACGCTTAACAGTGAACAAACATACAGCATCTTCACAGCAGTAATTTTGATGTCAATTTTGCAGATCACGGCTGAACTGCTCAAACTGTCAATCATTAGACTTCAGTGTGTTTGTTTGTGCTGCAATAAACTGATTGAAACCGAGATAAAAAGGGAAGGAGAGAGATTACGAAGGCTTTCTGAAGCACTTGACTTATCAGATTAACTTCACGTGGTGGACCGATCGCCCATTCAGATCTCACGCTGAGACAAACACACACAGCCACAAACACCTCACCTTATAGAAGGAATCCATAGACAGAAGAACAACCCAGGGAACATCCAAAGCTTCAATGATTTTATTGGCTACAGTGGTTTTTCCTGAGGCACTGCCACCACACAAACCTGTAAAAACCCCATGATGAAATACTGATGTAAAAACTCCCATTTTGGTGTCCAAAATGCCTGACATAAGTGTTACTATGAATTGTTTTGGTGCAAAAATTTAATATATGAGTTTAATTTTATTATAAAGTATCATCTTATTATTTATAAAGGTTTTTATCCAAATGTATTTTGCACTGGGTTACTGAAGAGAGAATGAGAATTAAGTTCAAATCTAAAAGAAATCTTTAAAGGAACAAAATATGCTAGAACTGAGATCTTTTGAAATGCCACTACTAGAACGATTACCAGAAAGGTGTACCATCTACTCGTACCAATCACAAAGGCCTCTTTAAACTGGGCTCCGTGTTCATTATACCAAGGGGGTCGGCCAGCTGTGTAGATGGTGCGTGTGCCAGTGCGGAGCAGTGGAGGTTCCGTTTTACCCAGATTGCTACTCTTCCTGCGAGAGGTGCTGACTGGAGGAAGGAGTCTGTCCAGAGAGTCTTCACCACTCCCGCTGGAGTAAATAAAAGACAATTATTCTATCAAAAAGCCCATTATGGACCAAAGAGAGTAAGTGCTCTGCCAACAACAGAAATACACACAAAAAACTATACAGGAAGAGCTCTCTGAGTTCATTTTCATTCATTTTCTTTTCGGCGAAGTTCCTTTATTAATCTGGGGTCACCACAGCGGAATGAACCGCCAACTTATCCAGCATATGTTTTACGCAGCAGATGTCAATTAAGCTATATCGCATGTCTTTGGACTTGTGGGGAAAACCAGAGCACCTGAAGGTAACCCACATGAACACAGGGAGAACATTCAAATTCCACACAGAAATGCCAACTGACCCAGCCGAGGCTCAAACCAGCGACCTTCTTGCTGTGAGGCTTTCTAAGTAGATTTCTTCTTAAAAAAAAAATTACTATTACTATTGTTGGCCTATAGATGAACGGCTCCTTTTGTAAGTTGCTTTGGATAGGGTTAGAGCAGGATGCACAGAAGGTGAAATATTACTCTGTGGGGTCTGCACATGCTGGGCATACCGGATGGAAGTTAGCTACCTGGGGACTATTTTTATGCACTCTTTGATATGCGGTGCCTGGCAGCAAAGTTCCTTGATGATTACGCCAGAATAAGAGTATAGTTCATAATAATAAATAAGTTTTAGTACACAATGTAACTTTATTGGTCACTTTTGCATTAGATGCTAACGGTCCAATCGAATTCAATGATTTATGTTAAGCTAAGCTAAAAGTGCTCCATCAGAGCCAGAGATCATCTGAATATATTAAAAATGTATTTATAAATATATATTTATAATATATTAAAAAATTTCCAACAACAACAGAAATATAAAGGAAAAAAAAACTATACAGGAAGAGCTTTCTAAGCTGAATTCTAAAAAAAAAAACTATTAATATGACTGTTGTTGGCTTATAGATGAATGGCTTTGTTTTTGGGGTTTAAAAGATGTCTGATATGCATCTAGACGTCTTGTCTAAAGCAAGGCTAAATTTGAGCTGTCAGTCGAAAAATAGATTATATTAATCAAATAGACAGGAATGAACTTAAATCAGTCTAATCTGTCAATTTGATGACTAGTCTGTTTTGGACTACTGTTAGATGTCTTTCAGATTTTCACTGACTGATTGACTATAGACCAGCTTCAGCCATGCCATCTTTAGCCATTTTTAGAGATCTATTAAAAACAAAACTGCTTAGCGGGTTACTTTTGGTTGCATTGTGAATAATTTTGTAAGGAGGCCCAGACAAATTAATATAAAATGTGCATTTATCAGTCTATATAACACCCATTGGCTTCCAAATATAAAGTCTTACTAGTATTAAGGTTTGTATTCATTTTACTATATATCAGTTATTGGCTTCCAAATAAGTTAACAGTATCAAATTTGCATTTATTTGCCTATATATTGGTTTTAGGTACACTCACACAAAATCTGCACCCTTATTACCATTAAGTCTATTTGTTTCCTTATGCAAATAAATGTGTAATTAAATAATAATTCAGTTTTGTCGGTGCCAATAGCATAGTGGTACTTTGCACTGACATATAGCACCAACATGCTCATGGCGACCCAGGTTTGATTCCTGGCTCAAGCTCCTTTACTGATGCTTCTGCTCTCTCTGCTTCCACTGCTTTCCTGTCTGAAATCTGGCCTATCACAATAACGGTGAAAAAGACTCAAAAAAATAAATAATTATTAAAATATTAATTCAGTTTTTATTTTAATTTCAGTAATGTTATTGAGTAATATGTTTATATGATAAAATATGTACGTTATAGTTTGTTAAGTAATATTTTTTGTCTTTTAGTTTATAAACTATATGTGAAAGTTCTAATAAGATATGCATTGCATACTCTAAATAAAAGCGATCAATTTTTAATGTTGTTAAGTATATATACTCTCAAAATCATTTAGCATAAATCCACTTTTTAATTTTCTAAATTGTGCACAAAAATAGCAAAAAATGTCTGCAGTTTCTGTCTAGCCCTATTTATTGGCTTCGCAAAGAGATTTTGCCTATTAATTTCAGCCAAGGTTCTATATTGGTGCATCCCTACACTGTGAAACCCCAAAAAGTTAAGGTAACTAAACCATCTAAGGAAACCGATTGCAACAAGCCATTTAAGATAAAAAAAATAATAATGAGTACTGTGAACTTCATCCATTTGAGTAAACGAAGCAATTTAATCACAGTTAAACCCAATAAACAAAGAGAACTCAAACCAACTGAGTGCTGAAAAACCCAATAAGTGTAGGCAACAAAGAAACTATTTGAGGAAACTGATTACTACAAACCATTTGAGTTAAAAAAAAGAATCTATATGAGTACCGTGAACTTACTCCATTTAAGTTGAAGTAATGAGGTATTTAATTAACTCATTATACCCACAACACTGAGTTCAAAACTCTTTTTCATTGAGAATTAACTTTCAGTCAATTTTGAGTTAACTACACTCCTTTCATTTGATTAAGTTGACTGTTGGGTTTTACAGTGTGTTAGAAATATTTACAAACACTAAAACTCATAAATAATGTGTGGCTAATCGTGTTCTGCAAGATGTCACAAGATTAATGATCAACTGACGCAACCTAAAACTGAAATAAACAAGCTTTCAGTCATAAAAACCTAACTGAATTAAAAGAACGGCAACCAAGCAATCTTTCCATCATCATGTCGGTGTCACACAAAACCTGTCTCACTCGCTCTTTGCACGAACATGAGTGAGTGACTAAATCAGGCCAGCAGTCACATTCAAAACAGCTAAAAAAAAACAAAAACAAACAAAAAAAAACAACAGAAATAACATTAACCAAACAAGATACCGCCTTTGAAAAAACTATAGACAATAAAGCTGATAAACTGTTTTCAGTGTAAAGGTTATCGCAAACAGCAGTTTCAGCACTCTCAACGGTTTTAAATGAGGTAGTCTATAATTGCATGTGTCGCTCTTTTCAGATTAGACTCAAAACAGCATTTAATTAACCTTTTAAATACTAAACAGTGCATTTAATAACTTACCCTCCATCGGTACGGAGAGCCCAGCAGCCTGATATTCTGGCCCCGGTGTATCCGGGCAGTGTGCTCATATCAGCTGTGAACGCCTGACGCCTGTCTTCCATATGAGCAGTAAAGGTCACATTCTCATCCACGCTCAAACGCAGACAAACCAGCTCATAATCACAAAGCCTGGGTCATGAAGAGGGCGGACATCATACCACTGACAAAAACACACGGCTGCTCAGAGTTGTTCATAAAATAAACTGATCTGCGCCTCTTTTATTTGAGTAATACCCTTGAAGTTTGAATACTACCTGACCAGTAATTTCGAATGAAGAACGCTTTAATGAACAGTGAGAGTTTTCTATGCGTGGCTTGCTCAGTGTGCGTGGGCTTGATGGAGTAAGAGGATCAGTTCTTCAGAGGTGACACGGATGAAAGTATTATTAGAAGCAGGAGACAGACAGAGGCCAAAGGAAAGCTTGATTGCTCAAAGTTCAGTTTGCTTTATGTTAGTTATAAAGTTATAAATAAATGAGTTTTTGACCAATTGTAAAACTGTAAAAGAAAAAAAAAGAATAAAAGTAAACTCATTTAGTTAATTTCAATAAAAAAGGGTGTCACGGTGGCGCAGTGGGTATCACTTACAGCAAAAAGGTTGCTGAATCGAACCCAGGCTGGGTCAAATGGCATTTCTTTGTGGAGTTTGCATGTTCTTCCTGTGTTTTTCTTCCATAAGTCCAAAGACATGCAGTATAGGTGAAATAAATAACCTAAATTGTCTGTAGAGTATGAGTGTGTGAACAGGAGTGTACGGGTGTTTCCCAGTGATGGGTTGCAGCTGGAAGGACATCTGCTGCGTAAAACATACGCTGGATAAGTTGGGGGTTCATTTCGCTGTGGCAACCGCAGATAATAACAAAATGTAAATAAAAATAAATAATTTAAAGAGTTTAGATGCAAAAACCTCTAAAAGCCATTTGATATTTTTTTCAAAATTACCATTTTTCTCCAACCCCTTTGTGTAGGCTCAGTAATTTTACTTTTATAGTGATGAATAAGTTCTTTTCAATGCCTCTAAAGCGAAATAACTGAACATAAACATAGGAGGGTGAGAAAAAGTTTTATTTAGGAGAACATTTCAGGTGGGTGAAAATCAAATGAGGAGGTTTTAGAGAGAGATCTGATTTCTTTACTGTGAGATATTAGGAAAGAGAGAAAAACCTTGCTAAACATTTTTTTCAAAGATAAAAAAAAGATTTTTATGTATTACAAGTAAATTTGCAAATACATGTCTAACTCTATTAAAAGTCCCCAATGAACCGGAAGCTGCAATCGTAAATTTTTCCAAATGTGACGCAGTTTCTAGAGAAACGGAATATTAAATGAGCAAACAGTAGGTGTGGTGTGTTTTTTCAATTGCAGGCTGAATTGATGTAGTAAACCATGGCGGAGCCAGAGGGGTGTCCAGGGTGACACTGGACATTCCTGACATCTGATTGGCCACCCTGGGTGCCACCCCAAAATTTTATTTGCTGCTGGCAGTTCCTGATGCTGATTGACATCTCATTTGTCTAAAGAATTTTTGGAATTTTGCCAGCATAGCTCAAGCTATTTTAAGTACTTGAAAAGAAATAGTTCTCATTTTCTCACAATCCAACTCATATTAAGTAAAAAGATCTGATACTTAAAAAAATACATTTAAAGAGTTTAGATGCAAAAACCTCTAAAAGCCATTTGATATTTTCTTTAAAAATTACCATTTTTTCAAACTCCTGTGTGTAGGCTCGGTCATTTTACTTGTATAGTGATGAATAAGTTCTTTTCATTGCCTTTAAAGTGAAATAACTGAACACAAACATAGGAGGCAGAAAAAAAGTTTCATTTTAGGAGAAAATTTCAGATGGTAATTAGAGGTTTTTGCATCTGAACTTTTCATTTTTACACTAAAATTCAACCAAATAATCCAAAAATATTTTTGGTGGCTTTTTAGGGCTACTATGGGTGTTCTGAAATGGAAATGTTTACATTTTGTCAAAGGGGATCAACAGAGAAAAGTAATGTACCCCCCACCCCCCCATCATTTACACAAAATTTAACATTTTTTAAAGAATTCTGTCCAAAAATGGTCTCTGACTACAATGCTGATATTACCAACAGTATAGAATAAAACTCTAAATTCTTCGCAGAAATTTTTATAATGTAAAAAAGAACACACATGACCATTTAAGTGGTCTTAATTTGCTCTTCATTCTTATTTGGGTCGGTGAAAATCAAATAAGAAGGTTTTTGAGAGAGATCTGATTTCTTTATATATTACAAGTAGCCTACATTTGCAAATACACGTCTAACTCTATTTTAGTAAGACCGTTCAGTTAGGGTTTGTAGAATTTGAACATGCAAGGGTCAGTCTGTTAAGGTACCAAAAAATACAGATATTAAGCAAAAAGTCTACTGATACTGCTCTAACGCCTTCTAGTTTATTTGCACAATTAAATATCTAATAATCTAAACTTCTAAGACAAACAAAGGGTGTTGCCGCGTTATCACAAATGTTGTAATGCAAAAGTGTATTGAATCTGCAACTAAAAGGTCAGATCTCGGCTGGTGATCGGTTAGAATGTGATGTCTCCACAGTGCAGTAATGGGAACACATGTAGTGTCAGGAGGGAAACCTCGGTCTGTAGTTCATTATAATAATAACGCGTCATTACCGCGCAGCAGCAGCTCTGAAACTGGGACAGGAGGAGGGAGACAAGGGATTTAACTAATGCAATGCTGATTTATGCTCTTATGATGACTGACTTTCTTTCATTATCAAAGCGGTGAAATGTCGTAATTCACTGTATGGTGAATAACCTTTTCATATGGCGAAAGAAAAAAAATTTTGGTTATTTGGATGTGGGTCATGAACAACGCGTGTAGCAACGTCAGAGAGAGGTTCACGCACTGACGCTTTATCTTACTGTTATTGTGGTTGCTAGCGTAAAATATGGGTGTCAGGCAGCTGTGTTGTGATACCTGTTCGACCGGCTTGAGTGTTTCCTCCTGTACTCCATCTCAAACACAATATTATCCATTCAGACCAGACTCGCCATGAAGCTGGACTTATCCGTCAGCTGTTAATACTTCGCTAAACGCATTATGGGAATTGTAGTTTCGCAGGACTCTGACGTTATTGTGGCTTCCAAATGACGCCTTGCAATCCATAGCACATTTTATCTATTTATTTTATAACTGATGCATACAAGTATAGCTTAAAAGGCTGTTTGAAAAGAATAAATGATGTTTAATGATTCTGAATAGTTGATTAACATAGTAAGGCGTCCAATTATTTTCAGATAAAGGTAGGCTACTGATAAGTGGGCCTAGTAGTTCCAGGCACGTCTGTAATTATGTCAATTTACAACATTCAAAATTAAATTAAAGTATAGAAATGGATGGAAAGCCCTACAGGCAGGAACACTGAGAATGAAAACCTGGCAAATATTTTAAAATACAACATCTACACAATGTCTTCGGGTGAGGTAACAGTAGACCAAAGTGGAAAAATGTTTAGGCTACATGTGATGATTTCTGTCAAGATGACTTAAAATTATTTCTGTGAAGTATTAAATGTAATCATTAATCATAAATCAAAACATTCTGCCATTCTCAAAACTGTCCAGAATACAGTATTAGACTAAATATGATGGCCTTAAACTGTACATGAAAATAGCAGGCCAACACTGACGGCAAACTTACAATAGCTGACCAAAATTTTCAGATATGCAAAGCAACTTCTCCATGATGGTCCATTGGTATAGAAGTTTAATAGTCTATAAATAATAGAATTTAAGTGATTGAACCTGAGCTGTAAGACTGGAAAACTTTACCACTTTTTAAACTTCTTATGATAAAAGAACGCTTTTAAAAACGGGGTTTTCATGAAGTTCCAAAGCTCAAAAGCCATTTTCTTGTAAGAATGACCTATATAAAACAAATGATTACAGAGAAAGAAAACCCATTCTCTTTAAAAAAATTGTGATTAAAGTTGTGCAGGCATACTTTATTTTAAATAAAAAGAGCACAAAACAGCTACAGCTGCAGCTTGTTTGGGGTATTGTTTGTCTCTGAACTAATTCCCCCTTCACACACACACATACAAACAAAAATAAAAAGGAATAGAAAAAAACCCTTCTATAAAGATCACAAGCAATCTTGTGTTAGAATAGAAATAATTTAAATGTAAAATGTCAGAAGCAAAATCATTTGGATGTGATGGCAAATACAAATATACACTTAATAACTTAAAATGGCAAGATCAATAATCAAATTAGGAATGTTTGTAATCCATTAGAACAGTCTATAGCTCCTGTAGGTCTGGAAACCAAAGAAATGTATAGCTATGAAACAAATTATGGGACTGCCTTAGCAAATTTCAAATTTGGAAATAAATGTTTTAGGTTTGTCTTTGAGTAAAATGTTATTATTTTTGTAATTGAAAACATTTTAAATAAAACTGTTGTCATTTACAGCATTCTTTGCAGAATTAGTCAAAACATATGTTTACATTTGTACAGGAAATATTCCTCAGAGATTTTGCTCCATATTGACATGTTGGTAGACTTGTCGGCTGCACAACCATGATGTGAATCTCTCATTCTACCAGATCCCAAAGGTGCTTTATTGGATTGAGTTCTGATGACTGTGGAGGCCATTTGAGTACAGTGAACTCATTGTCATGTTCAAGAAACCAGTTTGAGACGATTCGCGCTTTATGACATGGTGCACTATCCTGCAGCAAGTAGCCATCAGAAGATAGGTGAACTGTGTTCATAAAGAGATGGACATGGTCAGCAACAATACTCAGGTAGGCTGTGGCATTTACACAATGCTCAATTGGTAGTAATGGGTTCAAAGTGTGCCAAGAAAATATCCCCACACCATTACACCTCCACAACCAGCCTGAACCATTGATGCAAGTAAGGATAGATCCATGCTTTCATGTTGCTGATGCCAAATTCTGACCCTATCATCTGAATTTTCTCTTTTTTGGATCATTCTTTTTAAACCATAGAGATGGTTGTGCATGAAAATCCCAGTAGATCAGCAGTTTCTGAAATACTCAGACAAGCCCGTCTGGCACTAACAACCACACAACAATCAAAGTCACTTAAATCACCATTCTTACCCATTTTTATGCTCAGTTTGAACTGTAGCAGATCGCCTTGACCATGTCTACATGCATTGAGTTGCTGCCACGTGATTGGTTGATTAGAAATTAGCATTAACCAGCAGTTGGGTTAATGGACAGGTGTACCTAATAAAGTGGCCGGTGAGTGTTTTTTTTTAAAGTAAAGCATTGGTGTATTGTCTAAAAATGTTGGTAAAATGTCTAAAACATGGCATATTTTTTGACCCTTTTCACTTTAGAAAATGACATTATTTTTATTTTAAATGTAGATTATCATAATTTTGTTTAGAGAATAAAACAAACTCATGTTTTACTCAAACACATACTGCAACTATGAATTATAAATCCCATAAGTGTATGCCACAAAATGTAAATAATATTTTAATACGTCATCTGCAAATGTGAAAAAGGCATTCAAGGAATGTACAGTACAATCCAGATTTAAAACACAAACAGTTCTGCCCTTGGCTAAAAGCACATCGTGTAATTTGAACGTGGCTTCAAAACATTTTCCTAATTTCTGTGCTTTAAAATCAAAATCTTACACATCAATGCATTTCCCCATCAAACTGAGTCATGGTGCCACAACACTTAACACTCCATGATAAAATACCAAGCTCCTATCATTACTTAAAATGACACACTACTCAATAATGCTGGGGTACAGTTTCATTGTCTCCAACCACCTTCAAGTTTTCTCACTTTATAATCTTGATCTTTTGATGTTTTTTTTTTTTTAAATGGTCTCTCAGGCAAGTCCTAACCCGAGTCTCTTTTTAAGAGAACAATGGAGAATGTCATCTGTTTGCCTTAACTTCACATCTGTCATCTGCGATTCTCCCAGGCTTAAAGAGCTTTGTAATTTACATAACATAAATACAGCCTCTGTGGCCAAAGATGCTTATCATTTCAGTGTAAATGCTGTTGTTATTATCACACGGTCGAACTAGTTCAGACGTATTTTATCTCTTCATTCTTAGAAACAGAATCTCTTAACAGAAGAAACTAAAAAGAAACAATCAACCCAAACATCCTATAGCCAGATGTCTGAAATGGAGGTTTAGGTGCATCTCCAATGAAAAAAAGAGGTTCTACAGGAAATGTAACACTAATACAATTGATTATGCAATAGTCTTGATGGACATGTTCACATTCCAGCAGAAAATAGTCAACAATCCAGTTTTCTACAGGCATATTTTTGTAGTTCTTGCACATACTGATAGCATTACCAGACATCCAGGTTACCACTGAGCCTCTTTCAACTGGATCAGAGATTTTGTGAAATCCAGGGAGCTTTGGCACAGACAGCTGCGTCCACCTTCATCAGATATAGATTCAGCATTCCTCTGCATCTTGTGTTTGCATTTTGAAGCAGATCTGGGGTAGGTAAATCAATGGGTGTTAGAGAAAGCTCCTTTTTTTTTGAAGGTTTCCATAAGCATGATAAGGATTTGGGGGTTGAGCGGTGTAAGTGAAACCAGTCCCTCACTGTGTATTCCAGTCCCTGACAGCTCCAGTCAAATGTCTCTGGCCTCAACCTGACCAGACATATTGATGTCCCTTCAGAGTGCAGGCGGTCTGGAAGAAGAACCACACGCATGGGTGAAGCTATGACAGGTTTCCAGAGAGCCCTGGAGAAGAGAGCGAAAGTGAAATAGAGTGAGGAATGGAAAGAAAATATCATGGACACATATCAGGGGGCTCATTCTTAAAACTCTGCTAATAAAAACCTTTATTTATTTATTTATTTATTAATGGCTCAAATGATGATTTAAATTGGTTCAATTAAGTCAGGATTAATTTATTTTCATTTATTCATTAGGTTTAATTATTTTATTGCTCTAGTTTTATATATATTTTTTTCAGGTTTATACATTTAGAGCGTTTCAGAGGCAGGTTGGTTTTGATGTAAGTCAGCACTCACTTTTAGGGATTTACACCTACTTACAGTAACTTTAAATATTGACAGTTCTTGACCCCAGTAAGCTACAAACACATATTACACTCTAAAAAATGCTGGGTTGTTTTTTTTTAACCCAAATGCTGGGTTTAGACTGCTGGGTAACAAAGTTGGGTTGATTTAACCCAATTTGGGTTGAAAATTGGTCTTGATCTATAACCCAGCAGTGCTGGGTTGGAGACGCGGACGTGAAAGAGCATGCACGTCACGTCAACATCCAGGGACATCAGCATGAGAAACTGCCCCGTCTTTAGAGGGAAGCGAGTCTGAGACGCAAGTTATTCAGTGTGTATTTAACAATTTTTCATAAAAAGAATATATATATATATATATATATATATATATATATATTCTTTTTTATGAAAAATTGTTAACTTAGCTGGAGTGCTTTTATCTGTTATTTTATTTCAGATGGATGAATATGTGAAAACCAAGCTAAAAGAATAGAATCTTGAAGAGTTAATGCCCAAATTAGAAGGTATGTGGTAATATTTTACTTGGTCTAATTTTGTCAAGTATTTTGTCTAAAGATTTGTCTGGTTGACTTGTGATGTTCATTTACAGCATTAGTTGAATAATTACACATTTATTAATGATTAAATAATAACTGCTCTTTAATTGCCCACATTGCCTATTTTATAAGGCAAACATACACAGTTTTGGAGTTTCATGCTCAAGTTCATAGAGACTTAGACTGCAGAAAGCACATCCTGTTACTTTTATTATTTACAAAAGTGCAGTGTTTTGCTGTTAAAATTGGGTTGTTATTAACCCCGCAGCTTTTAGAGTGTAGGTATCATTGGAAAGAAGAGACTTTTGGGCTTTACTGTGGTAAAAGAGGAAGTTTCATGCTCAAAAGAATAAAAAGTTATACATTATGAAGTCATGAAAAAAAATGTATTGTGTTCAATATATGTTTTTCCATATACAACACAGGAAAACATTAATGTAATGTCCTAAAAAATATACCTTAAAAGCCAAGTGTCTCATGAGTTTATATTTCAAATTTGCTTAAGACAGCATGCAAAATGAGATTTGTGTAAAAAGTTTTCTGAGACTATATCGATGTCCTTCTTTCCCCTTACCGTCAGAGGGACTTTCTCAAAAATTACCATCCCAAACTAAAACAGTAAGAGTTGCTGAATAATTTGGTCTACATTCACAGTTCATGTCTCTTTGGAAAGAATAAACTCCTCCATCATCTAGAGTTTATAATGCTCAAAATGAAAAAAAGTTATAGATGTTTAAGAAATGTAAAATAATTGCACCGCACTAAACATTTTATTATTTTATAAACAAAATTAGTCAATTATATGAAATTAGTCCTGGATCAATACAGAAATGTAATAGGTCAAAAGCCACACATCTCCTGGGTATTTGTTTCCAAACTGGTTGCTTTATTTATTTATAATGCTGCCAAATAAAATCTGGAGCTGTTCGGCTGATGTATGACCCCCAACACATATCTGTACAACAAAAATCTTAACAACAGCAAAAAACAAAACAGGAGAATATGCATAAACAGAACAGAATAAGCAATTATATCCGTTTTTATTTTTATCTTATGCACAATGTTGCTCATTACTGTTTAATACAGTTCTCCTTGCAGCAGATCCTCATTTGTGTGTTTGACAGAGATAATCCTGCTGCTGTTTTGACCTCAATACACATTTTATAAGCTCTTTGCAAGTTCTTAAATGATAATGTACATGAAAACACAGAGAGTGTTAAGCCCAGCACACAGCGTTGTTTAGGAATTCTTGATAAGTTCACTCACAAAATGTAGTCCATTAAGGATGATTTGTGAGTCTGTGTATTTTTCTATGTGTGCATGTGCTGCTTATTTGCACATATTTTGCACAGGTTCTAAAGGGGTGACATTTTAGAAGAAGAGTTTTGGCAGGAGTAAATATATATTTAAAAAAAAAAAATCCTTGACACAAACAAAGAATTCTAGAAAGTGTGAAAAAGCCTAATGTTAGCTTCATTAAAAAAAGGGTCAAAAGCTAAATATTATTTTAATCACTTCTAATGATTTCAAGAGTTTACACTTAGCTCATAATTGATTATAAAGCAAGTTTGGGATGCTGTCCCGGGAGAGAGCCCTGAGCTCATGACATCCTCAAGCCCGGGGCTCCCTCCTGTTTGCAGGGAAAGAGGGAAGTTCAGGTAGGTCTCGAGAACTCCCCTCTTATTTAGAGCTGATGACAGATTATAAATTGCTATATAGAGATATACTGCTAGTCAAAAGCTCAACTATAGTGCTAATTTAGATTGATCAATTCACTTATGATGCATGTTTTTGGACTGTGGGAGGAAACTGGAGAACCTGGGGAAAACCCACGCGAGCATGCGGAGAACATGTATACTTTGCACAGAAACAACAACTGGCCTGTTAAGGAATTGAACCAGTGAAGTTCTTGCTGTGGAGCAAAAGTGCTTACCACTGGACCACTGTGCTATAAAGGGAAAGGTGGAGGAGTAGGGGTGGAAGGGAGGATTCTTCAAGGCGAAGATAACTTAAGTAAGAAACTTTGGTTATTTATAGTGAGTTAAGAATCATCTGATTGGTGAATCATGCATTAGTTAATGCAGGACCAGCTGTGATCAATCATAAGCACGTGCCCCTTTCAAAATTATTTATAAGTAAACTTCACTTATCACACACAGCGCAACTGGATAGATATTTATGGGCATATATAACTGATATTACGTTGGATAAGGAAGATATTTGATGGACCCAGATATCAAAAAATCAAATTCAACTGCATTACAGTATTAAATAGCACTGATATTGGAAGAGATAACCAGGCACCAAATCTCACCACATTCATTTTTCACTATTCTAGCATTATCGCTTCTGGTCATGGCACCTGCTTTAGTCTTACTTCATCATTTATGCTCTTAATTCTCACACAAACACTTGCACAAATAACTTTACGGGATTTATAAAGATTTATCTTTATCTTTAAAATCACAGACAATGATTTTTATACTGTAAAATAAATCCAACCCTAACAGGAAATATTCTGCACATTTACATTTTTCAAAAACTTCCCCACAAGGAAGTATGCTTTGTCCTCACAAAGTCAAAACTGATTGGTATTGCTATGGGTAGAAAATTAAAAAAATTCAAAAGTACACACACACACACACCTCTGCTTAGCAGCTGTAAGTTGCGCCCTTCCTCTTGTACTTGCAGTTGCAGAACCTGCTGGAGAAGCTCTTGTCTCAGAGTCTCCTGAACCAAGCCCATCCGCTCCAACTTCTCACCATTCAATCTCAAGAGAGCGCGACCTGACAAAGTGACAGAAGAGAGGCAATTTCAGTAGGCAGGAGCTCATCGGAAACACAAAAAGCTCTGGATCCTCTGCATTATGCATGCACTGTTTTGTTGGCAGCAACAAACAAGTTACAGCATTCGCAAATCCGCCCTGGGTTATTATCTCCATGCTCTCAGTGATCTTTGCATGTGAGGCTATATGGAAACATGCGGTGTTGAAATGCCAGCCTGAGGGCTTGGGACGCCCCGGGTTCATTTCCCGCTTTGTATCCAACTGAGCCTCTCGTGCTGCGACTCTAAACACTTTAGTCCACAGCCTTGCAGAAAAAAAAACTCTGCGTCGGCCTTTTGTCCTTATGTTTTTTCCTTTTCTCTGGATATCCTCTTCTCTGGATCTCACCCAGCGTGTCTGTGATCTGGACGCTTTGTGTCCAGTAGATAAGGATTGTGGGGGCAGAGGAGTCGCACGGGTCCCTAGTGAGGGAAAGAGTTTTAAAGGAGTGAGTGGGAGAGAAAGCGCATCGAACACCAGTGTTTGAGTGGAGCACTTTGACACACTCAGATATGAGCCATATATTCACAATACAACTCTTCAAACTGTAGGAAAACATGGTGAAATAATGATGAAGGACGTCAGTATGGCCAGTGAGTCTTAACTTTAGGAAATAAAATGTTTTTTACTGATGTAGGAAAAGAGCAGTCACCTTGTTGTGGTCAAGGGGTCAAGGTTTGGTTGGTTTGCAAGGACACATTTGCTGTTTCTAGTAGATGGTGAAACTATTCCGTTTGGCAGAAAGTATCCCCCCACTAATGGCCAAGAAAAAAAAACTCTACATACAAACTCTGTGGTCAGTCAGTTTTTATCCAAAACACAGCAAAGCAGTATTATTTTGACATATTATTACAACTTTTTTTTATTCTTTTTTTTTATTGAACACTTGATTTTGAACAAAGCCTGAGATCCACCCAACAACAAAAAGAAAAATAAATAAAAACAGTAATACTGTAATAATATGTACAAAATCAGGAGTGAAACATATCTGATACAGTCTCATATTTAACCAAAATTGTACAGTTTTCTTTTACTGGCACCATTTATTTTGGCTGTGGTGTATTCTAAACCAATAATGTCCAGTAGATAGAGCCTCCAGAATAGAGGAGCAGATGGTTCTAGCCATTTTTTCAAGATAGTTTTTTTTGATGGGGTTCTTCTCTAAAGAAGTAGTTGCTCCGCCCCGTTACTTTGTTTGGGAAACGCACCCCTGCATGACAAAAAGCAATGGGTTGCATTGAATCTGGGATATTATTATAACTTTTATTAATTTTGAAATGTCATGTATTTCTGTGATACTTTTCCAGACTTCGGTGACATATGATCCATAATAAATCTACAATGTTCTTCTTAAATAAATATCTTTGTATTATTATGATCAAAGCTGGAAACAGTTCAGTTGCTTAATATTGTTAGTGAAATATATACATTTAATAAAATGGGTTATATGTACATGGATATTTTCAATTTCAGCCAGCCAGCCTTAGTGCTTCAAATGAACTGTCTTTCCATTATAAAATGCCACGTTTAAGGATTATTTTCTTTAAAAAACAGTGGTCTTCACTGCCTGATAAACATACGATATAAAGTGGGTCTCGGATCGAACAAGAAGCATTGCATTAAATTCCATTTCCCCCCGAATGTCTTTAAAAAAATGTTTATTTTACCCCAGTATTTTCAATGGAGTTTCTGTGCTTGACTGCTGATAATAGCAGCACTAGAAGTTAAACAGTCTTTTATCTCATTTTACACTTGAACAACTAAATGAATGCTTAAGTCTGTTTATGGATGCTGTAAAAAAACTTTATGAAATTGAAAATAGTCCCATTAAGCTTTCATCAGAAGTTTACCATTGGCTGAAAAACACTAGCTATGCATACACTCCATTACATTTCATATTACAAAAAATCTATATTTTATTGGACTTAATACATGATAATCAATTTAATAAAAATGATGAAAAACTACCATTTAAAAATTGATAATTAGATCATTATTATTTGATGAATAGAACTTTAAAAAGTCTTATTTGTAACATTTTTATCACAATGTAAAGAACTGTATTCTATGGTTAAACGGTACTACAAACATTTTTAATATTCTTACACTACGTGACAGAAGATACTATATCACCAGTGGCCAAATTCTTTTTTAGAAGTGTTCAAAAGCTTAAAAGTTAAATATTGTTTTCATTGTTCACAGTTCAGACAAGAAGCTAGTGAAGGTTTTGAAATGATTCATATTTATTTTCTTGGTTAAAAAGAAAACTAAATGGCATGTACAGTATATTACTTAAATAAATGGCTTAAAAACAAACTGAGAATCCATACAGGGTTTAGCATAATTGAGTACAGCCTATTTTGAAAAAGAATTTGTATCCATTTCTCAGTGAACATAGGTAATGTATTTTGGTGCATTTAAACAAAACAGATTTATTAAACAGATATATTTATTAAAATAATATTTTAGTCACCAAACATATTTAGAAAGTTAATACAATTAAATTCAGCTAAATATCGCAAAAATAAATTACAACCTACAAAATTTCTTTCTTTTGATTTTTCCTCTTTTTAAAACTTGTATTTAATATTTTTCTATAACATTTAAATTTGGGTGTACCAGTTTTTGGACTGTCATCGTAAGTGATTTTGTTTGATAAGCTCAAGATTTGGCATCAGTACAGACTAATCTAATGTATATGCACATATATAATATTGTACAGCTTCCTATTAAATATATAAATTTAAAAGATAGATTTGTGAGGGGTGTACTTATATATGCTGAGCACTGTAAGATTTCTAAACTCATTATCATTTTCATTATCAGTGTCTTCCGCAAAGGCTAGAACATAAAGATCATTGTAATATATTGAAAACGAGGCAGGAAGGAATAAAGGATTGTGATCTGTAAAATGAAAAAGTACCAGTTCTTTGACAATAGGCATTTTTGGGAGAGTAGATGAGCACAAGTTGGCTGACCTTCGGCTAAAAGGATAATGCCTCTGTCATACCACATGACATTCAGTAGATGTGTTGGTGTCCAGGGATTGGTTGAACTGCTGAGCATGCAGTGCCTTTAAAATTTTTTTGTGCAAGTGACGTACAATCCTAAAACCTTTACAGTGACCACTGCAAAAAATAAGTTTGTACCACAGTACTTTTTTGTTTTCTAGTATAAATAACCAAACATACTTAAATCAAGACGTAATTTCATGAGAAGCAAAATAGCAAGACAGTACTTAGTAGTACTACTATATGTCCAGTTACATAATTATGGAAGTTATTGAGTACAGGTTTCCAACATCTTTCATAATATCTTATTCTGTGTGTTCAACAGAGAAAATTTAATTAAATGAAAAGTGATTAAATAATTAAATAAAAGAAAGAAAAAAATGATTGGGTGATCATCTTTGAATGAACTACCCTTTTACAGTTGTAACGGTAAGAAGCTGGACATAAGATTTAGGAATCCATGTGCAGTTCACTAAATAGAGAACGGTCACACAGGCAACAGTCAAACACAGGATCAAATGGGTAAATACAGGTAATGCAAAAGGTGTGCATAAGTCTGCGTAATAAGTCCTTGATCAGCTTCTAGCTGCAATCATTGGAGAACTGGAACAGGTGTGTGAGTTGCATGATGGGAAATGTTGTTCATAAAAGTGACAGAATTGTAGTCCCGGTGAAGGTGCGTGTTTACCAGCGATCTGTAAGGGATCGCTGGTGATTATGATAATAGTGACTTTAATTTTATTTTTTATATTTTTGTACAAGAATAATTCACAGACATACAATTAGACCTTTTTTCCTCAATCCTCAACCAATAATAAACCTAATTATTTTATTAACTGTTTACAAAATTAATAAAACTGTATCTTGATCAATTTTACAAAAAGCAAGAACATATCATAATAACACCATGTTTTGAATTAAAGAGTTAATTCACCCAAAAAGATTTAAGATGTGTAGATTACTTTTGATTACTTAGTACAGCGTTAAACAACTTTTTTTTTTGGCTGAAACTGTGGTCTCACAGTTAAACAGTATACAGACTAAACAAAAGTAATACTAATCTTACCAGTACATTTTACAATACATAATATTTTCGCCAAGGCTATGGATATCATAGTGTTGTGAAAAATCTCAAACTTCCTTCACAGACAGATCATTTTTCTTTATAAGAACACAATGTATCATCAAGAATCATGGGTATTAAGTTTGTTTTGCCTGTTTATGTTTGTTTTACTCAATGTCATTGACTTGCATCTTATAAATCACAAGGGACTATGATTTTTTAATTTTTCTTTGGCTTAGTCCCTTTCTTAATCAGGGGTCGCCAAAGCGGAATGAACGGTCAACTTATTCAGCACATATTATATGCAGCAGAGGCCCTTCCAGCTGCAACCCAGCACTAGGAAACACCCATACACTTTTGCATTCACACACATACCCTTCGGCCAATTTAGTTTACTCAATTTATCTATAGCACATGTCTTTGGACTGTGGGGGAAACCGGAGCACCCAGAGGAAACCCAAGCAAACACAGGGAGAACATGCAAACTCCACACTGAAAAGATTTTACAATCATAAATTCGTAAATTAACAACAAATTTTCATTCTTTGGGTGAACCATCCTTTGAGTTTAAAACAAAGCACTGAAAAATGAAATCATGTCTGAAGTGCTGTTTATATAATGTATTATTATATGAATATGCAGTATCCTATGAATAATGGCTCAAATATAAAGAAAAATGCTATTAAGTACATTTTATTTTGTTTCATTGTGTGTTTTACATTGAATTGCACACCTGTAATGGCGTGGTGGGAGAAGGCTTCCACGTAGGTCAAGTAGTTGTGCGGACAGTGTTTCTTTAGCCATCTGCACACGTCCTGCTGAGACCACAAAACCACTGGCCTGGAGAGACACGGCAAGGTGGGGCTGGTGTGGTAAACGGAGTAAGATTCACCTGAACGTAACTGAAAGAGAAAGAAATAGAGCATGGTACAAAGAGAGCGACAGGGAGGCTAATTTAAATATGCATTTCAGCGAGAAGTAGGATAGAAAAACAAATCTAAGAATGTGACAGAATTATGTCCGTCCTTCCGGAGTCCTACTGTGCATGAATGCAGGACTTTTTATAGCACAACTAATTCAAAACCAGCCTCTGTAATAAAAAAGAAACAGATAAACAGCTCTCCCCCCTCCCACAACCTCTGGGAAATAAACTTTAAAAGCAGAATAATAACTATTTTCCATCTCATGCATCGGCACTGATTAAGATGGATGTTTTCATCTGATTGGCCGCAAAACAGATTCCACACATAAATGAAGACCGTTCTAGAACGATTAGCATTCGTTACAATGGCTGCTCTAGTGATGCGAGTCACAATAACACTCGCTTGACCTTCAGCCCAGACTTCCATATGATTGCTTAAATAATTATGCTTATATGAAATCATCCAGCAAAGATAATTCCCACAAATCATCCATATTTAGAGCCAGTGAGAGTTCATGAGGGCTGATGAGACTGAGTTTAGTGCATCTGTGACCTACAAAAATTATGCTGTTTACTGTGACACCATAAAAAGCATTGCAAATATTTACACTCCATGGTGTTGGGTGTCAAATATGCATTAAAAATAAATACTTTTAATCAGCAAGACTACAATAAATTCTCTCATTTTGAATAAAAGCTGTTCTTTTAACTGTGTTCCTTAAAAATACTGGAAAATAAACGTTACGTTTTCAACATAACAATGAGCACCAAATCAGCATATTAAAAAGTATTTCTGAAGGCAATAATGACTGCTGGAGTAATGACTGCTAAAAATGTATTATTTGATTCACATGAATAAATTACATTTTAAAATATATGTTTTCAAAATATAAGCTGAAAAGTGTCATTTTAATATTTCACAGGATTACTGTTTTTTTAAAATGCTGCTTTGGTGAGTATTAAGTACATCATTGATTATATTAATCAGTTTCTATACCTGAAAACTGTTAGATACTTGAAAAACCTGAAAAGCAATGTTCATTTTATTTGTGTCTTTGCTATATTGTACTATTTTGTTTAATGAGCATAATATACAGTATACACCCACCCGTCACTTTATTAGGTACACCGGTCCAACTGCTTGTTAATGCAAATTTCTAATCAGTCAATCACATGGCAGCAACTTAATGTATTTAGGCATGTAGAAATGATCAAGACAATCTTCAAACCAAGCATTAGAATGGGGAAGAAAGGGGATTTAAGTGACTTTGAACGTGGCATGATTGTTGGAGCAAGATGGGCTGGTCTGAGTATTTCAGAAACTGCTAATCTACAGGGATTTTCATGCACAACCATTTCTAGGGTTTACAAAGAATGGTCAGAAAAAAATATTTAGTGAGCGGCAGTTCTGTGGGCACAAATGCCTTGTTGATGTCAGAGGTTAGAGGAGAATGGCCTGACTGGTTCCAGCTGATAGAAAGGCAACAGTAACTCAAATAACCATCAGTTACAACTGAGATATGCAGAAGAGAATCTCTGAACGCACAACATGTCAAACCTAGAGGCGGATGGGCTACATCAGCAGAAGACCACATCGGGTGCCACTCCTGTCAGCTAAGAACAGAAAACTGAGGCCACAATTTGCACAGGCTCAGCAAAATTGGACAATAGCAGATTGGAAAAATGTTTGCTGGTCTCATGAGTCACGATTTCTGCTGCAACATTCGGATGGTAGGGTCAGAGTTTGACATCAGCAACATGAAAGCATGGATTTATCTTGCCTTGTATGAACGATTCAGGCTGGTGGTGGTAGTGTAATGGTGTGGGGATATTTTTTGGCACACTTTGGGCCTATTAGTACTAAAAGCATTGTGTTACCTGAGTGCTGACCATGTCCATCCCTTTATGACCACAGTGTACCCATCTTCTGATGGTTACTTCCAGCAGGATGACGCGCCATGTCATAAAGCGCCTCACTAGATCTCAATCCAATAGAGCAGCTTTGGGATGTGGTGGGGAATGGAAGATTCACATCATGGATGTGCAGCCAACAAATCTGCAGCAACTACGTGTTGCTATCATGTCAATTTGGACCAAAATCTCTGAGGAATATTTCTTGTGCCCTGTTGAATCTGTGCCACAAACAATTAAGGCAGTTTTGAAGGCAAAAGGGGGTCCAACCCGGTACTAGTAAGGTGTACCTAATAAAGTGGCCGGTGAGTGTATACCGAACCATACTGAAACCATGGCAGGAGCCAAACCGTGAGCAATGTGTGCAATATTAGCATCTCTATTATACATTATATTTTCTATTTCTTAATGTGTTGGGTCGCCGTAAATTCGGTGTCCTGATGCAAAACTGGTTTCACAAAAGAACTCATTTTCAGTCCCTGCGCTTTGCATATTTTCTTCCTTTCCCCAGTGTTCCATTTCATTAACAGTCATTTATCCTCGCAAAATCACAGTTCTCCATTTTCTCCCTTCTCCCTCTATTTGTTTTGTTTTTCTAAGCCATTTGCCGCCATCTGTACCCCATCCCTCAAGTTCATCTTCAATTTTCTTTCTCCTTCACAGTTTTTGCCCCAACTCCCTCACTCTCATTCTCTCTCTTTCTCCCTCAGGCATTTTTCTACTTTCTGCCTTTGCTGTGTTTGCCCTTGAGGGCAGCGGGGAATTCTTTCTTTCTGCAACAGCAAGAAATCGCACACATACATTTTTGCACATGCACATACATGTATTCATGTATTCATGCATGCATGCACACATATTGGCTGAATAAGTGAGTGTTCCATTCATTGGTTTTGGGTGTGATGCGCAGCTCTCTAATAGCTGTCTCTAATGCTCTCTGTAGAGCATGCAGTATGTAAGCACACTGAGCAAATCTGCCACTCTGACTTCTATTAGTGTCACCATGAAGTTGAAAATGAACATTTGTTGTTTATTGTAAATATTACAGTATCCAATATAAATAATTTGCCATGCACATATATTTTGTCCTTATAATCTTTAAAATAACACAAAACACTAAACTACATTTACTGACGTTTTAATCAGACACAGGCGACACAGTGGCGCAGTAGGTAGTGCTGTCGTCTCACAACAAAAGGTCGCTGATTCGAACCTCGGTTGGGTCAGTTGGCTTTTCTATGTGGAGTTTGCATGTTCTCCCTGCGTTTGTGTGGGTTTCCTCTGGGTGCTCCGGTTTCCCCCACAGTCCAAAGACATGAATTGGGTAGGCTAAATTGTCCATAGTGTATGTATGTGTGCGAATGAGTGTGCATGGGTTTCCCAGTGATGGGTTCCTATATCATGTACTTTAAACAGAAGTTATTCTTACACATTCATTAGATAATTCTGTTTATTTTAGTAGTGACTCGTAACTATTCTATACTGATACTAGTAATATCTTTAACATTTTTAGGAGAGTCATAATTAGGATGTCAACTATTCTAGTTGTGACAATACATATTTTTTATACCAGTAATTATTCATTAGGTAGTAGAGTATCAATTAAATTATTGACACTAGTGCCTATTATTACAGTACATGCTAGTACTTAATCATTACATACTAGTGTTAGTATGTGTTATATTCATGCTATGTAGATAGCATTTTTTCATTAGTTTTCATTAGTCACTCATTTAACACTCAAAACAATAAAAACATACTAATACTTATAGCTAGATACAGGTAATTATCGGTTATCTACTACTACATATTCAGCAGATATTATTGTATGTATGTATTTATTTATTTATTTATTAATTATTATTATTATTATTATTATTATTATTATTATTATTATTATTATTATTATTATTATTATTATTCATTCATTTATTTTCTTTTCGGCTTAGTCCCTTTACTAATCTGGGCTCGCTACAGTGGAATGAACCGCCAACTTATCCAGCATATGTTTTATGCAGCAGATGCCCTTTCAGCTGCAACCCATCACTGGCAAAATTATTATTATTATTATTTAGTTTTTTTTTTAAATACTAGTACCTATTAGAAATGTTTTAGTAAGACCTATTATTTTTCTTAGAAAGACTTTTAATTGAACTCTATGGTGTACGGTGTCTATTCTAACTATGACAAGATGAGTAAAAGCAACCCTGACTAAGCTATGATCTATTTATAAGCAACAAGTATCTAACAAATAAACACAGATATTTAATGATTAAAGTGATAATTCACCCAAAAATGAAAATTTACTCACTCTTTTCTCACCCTTTAGTGATTACTTTATACGTTTCTTAGTGATTACTTTATACGTTTCTTTATTCTGTTAGATACTAAAGAAGATACAATGAAGTGCACTGAAAACCTGTGATAATTGACTTAAATAGTATAATGGTTACAGATTTACAGCTTTTTTTCAAAATGTCTTCTTTAGTGTTCAACAAATGAAAGAAAGAACAGGATTGGAACAAGTACTGGGTGAGTAAATGATAACAGAATTTTCAGTTTTGAACGAACTATCCCTTTAAGTCCTAGTATGTAATAATACATCTAAAAAATATGTACTAGTATTTAAGGATGTAAAATATGCACTACATAATAAAGCAGCTTAGTTGTTGGATTAATGAAAGCGAATTTTGTAAATGAATGTGACCAGTAACTGTTAAACTTTGCCAATTTTAATGAGCATCATCATTGAATTGCACTCTCTGGCAGAAGATAGTGTCTCATATAATAGGGCAAGCTGATGCAATCTTTCTTACTCCACAAAGTCCCTATAGGCAATGGTTCAGAGAGAGTCTATACATTACAGACAGAATCTGTCAGTGTGAGAGGAAGTCACACCACTTGAACGTGTGCTATTAATTATTTACAGCCCGGGATCCATTCACACAGACCCCCGAAGGATCAGTGCGTGCACAATAAAGGCAAAATACAAACCCTAACCATCAGAAATGCCCCAGTACACAAACGAATACATAATAGTCACATTTTTTGACTACAAATAGTCAATAAGGA